AAAGCTACCGCCCGTTACAAAGGGTATAGCCATCAACATCCATCCATGTACGGCGGTTATTATTATAAATATGTAAAGGCTTAATCACACTGATAACACCATCGTACAAAAGGCAGTCTGCAAACATTGTCTGAGACGTGTTAGGCTAGGTGGCGCAAGCTACCGCTTCGTTACAAAGTTATAGCCATCAACATCCACCCATGTATGACGGTTATTATTATAAATATGTAAAACCTTAGTCACACTGATAACACCATCGTACAAAAGACAGTCTGCAAACACTGTCTGAGCCGTGTTAGGCTAGGTGGCGCGAGCTACCGCCCGTTACAAAGGGTATAGCCATCAACATCCATCCATGTATGGCGGTCCTGTCCAGATTGGTCGTACAAAACACTGCATGTTCGAAGCACACGCATGTATGATGCAAACGTGCTTCGAAGATGCGTCGAGTCTTGTCCGCAGATAATGTCGTCATCACGCCTGCAGCGACCAAAGTGTCCATTGTATGACGTACTTTCTCGGTAACAAATGTTGTACTCCATAAAGACGTAACCTTTTTTTTTTTTTTTTCTCTTGCTTGACAGAATGATAGACCGCGAAACATATGCATCCTTTATATCTGCTTTAGTTATAAGGTGCCTTAGTACCAATTTATGGAGCAACATGAGTGACACAAATCTCAAGGCCTATCGTTTTTGGATGATATTATCAAGCTGAGCAATAATGTAAACGTGAAGTAGGTGTTCTTTGTTTTACTAAAGTTTAATAGATTCTTGTGAGTTGAGCGTAAACATTTCGCAGAAATGTGTCGCTTTCGGGGGAATAAGCATTAAAAGAAGACTCCCAATCGAGCCCTAATGTTCAGAGACCCCGAGATGTAGAATTTGGTTGGAGAGTTATTTTAGTTATCCTTATGAGGGCTGGGAACATGACGCAAAACCGCGCTCTCAAAATACTTTATCACTCCAGCTGAAAAAAAGCACTCGTGCCGCATGATTCCGCCGTAGTATGTAGTTATTATCAGTATTTCGACTAATAATACTTATTATTAACAGTAGCAATGTCATCGCTCGTTTTAACAACGATGCTGAAACGGTCTCCAACTGAGTCTGTCCGTCTAATACCACATTGTATGTAAAATAAGTGCTCTTGATTGAGAGTTCGTGAAATTCAAACTTGCACTGCTCTTGCCATCAAGAAATTCAGCCCCCATTCTTCCGTATTTTTTGTTTTGTTTTTGTTTTGTTTTGTTGACATCTTTAAAACCCTGCCATCGCAAGAAATGACTGCTCCAGACAGTAATTTCTTAACGAAAAAAAAAAGGACAGAAAACGCTACGCTTGCCACGCACATGATAGTGGAACAATGGCTCTTCGTATGGTTTTCTTCTTACAAAACCACGTGGTCCAGTTATCCATTGTCTTCGACGGCCTGTTGCCGCAACTTTAAAGCTCTTCCGGCATATTCGTCAGTTTTTGTTTTTTACACTAGAAATTGAATGTAATTACATATGGCGCCCTTCTTGTTTGTAGCTTTCTTTGTAAGTGCCAGTAACGAAACCAGCTTTTTAGAACGAGCGGTCCAAGAGCATTTCCGTCCTTTTCCCTTTCTCTTTTTGCCCTGGTCACTGGTCAAAGAGAACAAGGGAAAGGCTTCTTTGTGCAAATCTGAAGGCGTAAAGATAAGTCAGGTTGACCGATGTTTTAGTGGAAAGGGCGGCCTATGGCAGCTAAAGTCGACAGATACCTTTGTCCTGCCTGGTATCAGGGGTCGCGCACAGCAAAACCCTTCCAACTTGGCTGTTCTGCACGCTTGCACTGTCCAACTTCATTAAATGACTGAAAAAAAAAAGTTGATCATGGGAAACCTGTGTGGGATTTATTGGACCCGATATAAGTACTTCAAGAGGTGTCCGAGTTATGGGGGTTGGACACCTCTGAGGCTTGGACAGCTCCACAATAAAGTCGGACAGACTCAGCGAGGACTGAGAGGTCATTAGTTCTCATAATGGACACCTCTACGACTTGGAGATCTCCGAAAGTTGTACAAGCTTGATGAGTGTCTCATTATGTAGACGTTAGTCTGACGGCCCAGACAATCACCGCAAATGTACCAGCTGGCGATATCTCATTGTACACCAATTCGTACAAGTAGATGAAACATCAATTGTGACTAAGCTGTTGTTATACTTCCACTGCCATTGTGTAATGAAAAGTTCAATCCACGACTCGTTAGAATATAAACTTTCTTTTTTTTTTTTTTGATCACTGCCAAACTAAGGTATTTTAAGCCTTAGTGTGCAGTTATGGACACAAAGAAAAACACGCAAACTTAAAGTCGCGATCAACCTATTCCTTCCATTTTATATTTACTCTGTGACCTCAAAATAAGGTCACTCTAAAAGTGGTGCGAGCGCTGATACTCACTTCAAACTCAAGATATAGCAAAGACAAGCTAACAAAATTTAGAACAAAGATCGGTTCCACGGGTAGACCGGGAAAATATACACACATTTCGATCGATCTGTCCTTAGGTAGGACTGTCACGGCTAAGACAAGCCGAGTGGTGCATCTAGCAGCACGGGATGTTCAGGTGTTAAAAGCTAAAGTTGCGACGACACGCGCCACGAAGACGTTTGGAAACGGCCAAGAAACAAAGTTACATCTCTGCGTTGAGGAAAAGCTACGTCGCCTGCGGTCGCTCCGGACAGCGGCGACCTTCCTCGCTCCATCTCATCAACGTGCACGGCTAAAAATATCACAGAACAAAAATAATGCGCCCGCGCTTCCTACTTCCGACGGCGGGAAATCGTGGCTACTGAGCAATCCCCCGAAATGCTAAAGGCCGTTTAATGTAGTTCAAGATCCACGCACGTCGAGAACAATATAAATTCCAAGGCTTTGGCCTCACGGCTCAAGTAAGGTTTATGGCTCACTAGAGGTAAGACGGTTCGTGATATAACTTCCTGTTCACGAGAGCTGCATATTATTTGTTTTCTTTCTCTTCCTGCATTTTCTTTATGAGGATTTTTTTTTTTTTGTATGAAACATATTGGTCAGCGTTTAGTGTTTTGGCGCTACTAGCGCGGACTCTCATCGGGTAGGAGAAAGAAATATTGGTATCACTGCCAAATTTCTTGTTACCCTCAAAACAGAAGGTCAAACTGCCACACGTAACAAATGTTCTGAGCACTGTACGAAATAAGCCTTGGTTCTGAAATGCCTAAGAAGAAAAGCTAAAAATTGGCACTCACTTTTCTTCTTCGTATATAAAGCAATGCAGCAAAACGCAACGGTTTTTCTTCCTTTCTTTCTTTTTTCTCTCTCTCAGTTTTCCTGTTTGAGTGTCATATGGGTTTGCTCCGGCATTTGTATCATTGTATTTATTTCGGCGTGACATTTTGCTTGATACGTTGCATTTTTTTTCAGCAGTTTGGCCAACACGTCTGAGAAAATTGTGTAATCAAATTGTATCGTTTTTTTTTTCTTGTTAAAGTGCGAGTTATCGTTGTTGGTTTCTTTATAAAAACGTGTGTACAGTATGCCCTCTCCTATTGTAATCCCGGATGAAACTGATAGTATTTTAAATAAAATAAAATAAAGAAATTGTGAACATATATATGTTCACGTGCTGAACCAGCACGTGTTCAAAACGTGCTAGTAGGGATAATTTTGTTCTTCCCATTATTTATATTATTTTGCTCCGCCCGTTATGATTAACGATTTTTACTTTCATTTGCGCATTTCTTTTTCCTCGCACATTTTATTTCTATACCCTGTTGGAGGTTAAGAAAAGCATGGACAAGTCCTGCCACAAAGTTTTCCACTTTTTCCACTCAAACGGAGCAAACGCTGGAGAGGAGGCGAGAGAAAGTGAAAGGGACTCGCCTCCTCTCCACTGTTCGCACTGCTAAATTGGAAAGAATGAAGAACTTCGTGGGGAGAGCCTCTGCTACTCTTCTTAACCTGTAACAAAGAATAGCAAAATGGCTATTATCCACCTTGCCAGGTATTGTGAAGATATAGCTGGAGTATCCGAATAAATAAATTCATTCATCATTCATGAAGGACGTCAATTCTGCTGTTTCTCAACCAGCTGGCGTACACTCTTATCTCTTCACGAAGCTTAAATTTTCCACAGCGACAAGTGGCCTACTCTACCGAAAGCACGTAAACATTTTTTTCTCTTGACCCTACGTAGGGCCCAACGGATTACTAGTCGAACAGCTTGGGGTCACAAACGTCTTTAGTGGTACCCAAAGTCCACGAGAGCTAAGCCTAGCCCCGGGAAGAGCGAAAGTAAGACCTCCGGGTACCTCTTTGTAAAACCTCCCCTGTCCACCTGCTCCCTGTGTCCTGCTCAAAAGACCAGGAAGACCTCAAGGACAAGGGTAGATACTTTCGCGAGCCGGGTTCATCGAGAAGCAACCTCCGTTTACCCATAAACTGACAGGGCGCTGGAAGCTAAGGTGATCCTCGGACCAATCACACGACTATCTTTAACCCCGTGATCAGTCTCCCGCCCGTACCCACGCTTAGAGAGCGGAGTCCAGGTGACGAAAAGGGAGGCGGGTTGATTGTACCGGCGAGAGCGCGTAGCTCCCACCGCACTGCCAGCTTGCAGGTGAAAGGAGTGGAAGACCCGTGCAGGAACCAGCTGAGGAAAGAGGTCAACCACAGTCCGCTCGGACGGCCTCCTTGCCCGAAACCGGTCTCCAGCAGTCGACGACGTGGAGGCGCGCCTGCTCGAAGCAGACACCTCCTTGCCGCATTCCGGCTTAGGCCTAACGACCGCCACCGGGACCATCGGCAAGCCGGACTTTCGCTCGAAGTCGGCGCTCTACACCAGCGGATATTGGGCGACAACGATGACTTGAGATCTCTCGTTCCGAGTGTTCACTTTGTTGCTTCGGGAGGGAAGAGACGACAGCGAGGCCCGTGAGCAGGGCTCGAGGAGTTTTCCGTCGACGTGAACGAACGGGTCGCAGAACCACAACAAACATGTTTCAGCCGTCGACCCAGAGGCTAGGCCTACAAGCCCTGCTGTCAGTATTGATGCTTGCAGTCATTCTTCTTCCGACGATTGTACACGGACGTAAGTGGCCTTCCTTCCTCTTTATTTTCTTTTAGCGGGAAAGCATGTTTATTTGGGCGAACGATACCACGAGTATCTAGCTGGTTGCGTTATATGTTTATTTTCTTAATCCCATTTTAATTCTCATATTCATATATATTTCCCGCACCGTCTTGAACATTGACACTATAGGTCTGTGGTTTTCGTTCTCCTATTATTGTTAGACTGCACTGAGCAAAGAGCTAGGGACGCTGTTTGCATATTCCAGCATGCCTAAAGAAACCGTTACGCGTTCGTATATCCTCGTGAGAATGACCTTCGGTAAAAAGTCCCGTTATCCGATCACCGTGCGTCGCCGGAAGTAGGTCCTGTTGTGATTAGTCGTCATACCGGCGGAAGTACGAAGCTATAGCACTGATACGTCAATCGGTTAATAACACTTTGTTATCTGTCCGCGTTAGAGTGTCCCACTAAATGTGTTTTATTAAATTTGCCCAGAGCAACTGAAGCATTTGTTTATAGTAAACATTCTTCGGGATTCGAATTTAACCCACTGGCGTAATTAAAATTATCTTTGTAATTTTTTTTTTTTTTTTTTGAATTAAAGACAGATGTTAGTAAATGTTGTACGGTAGGCGAACTCGAATTTGTGAGACCAAGTTTTTGCAATCTTTCTTTTTTTATTTTGTAGTTCGGAAAGTCTCCTGATTCCTGAAGAAGTGGAAACGTGCAGTTCATGCGTCACAAGAGCGATAGAAATCCCAGCAGTTGTGTTCCTCAACATATAAAGTTATATTTACAACTTCGTACTTGTTTTATCAGACCTGTTTGGATCAACATCAGACCAATTTATCGATTAATTTATCGACTACCTGTCACCAATTTTTAGTCGGCGCGTCTGGGACATACTTGTTTTGTATGAAGCGACGAACCGCAGACGTCAAGCTAACTCGCAATCGTATCTCAATGCAAGGCTTTGCAATGTATAGTTAACTTCTCCGTTTTCAAACGCTATTGCGTGAGCGGGCCTCTTCTTCGGTGGGAGATCGCGTCTACGATGTCAAGGTTCCCCTTGCGTCTCCCTGCACCACCGAACCTCGGATCTCCGGGCTTCGAACCGAAAGTGCGATGTACACGCTCACCGTGCCAACCAAACGCCTGTTTTTATCGCCTGACCCCTCTCTCTCTCTCTCTCTTTCTGTCTCTCTGCGCGTGGTTGTGGGAGGGAGCGTGGTCATGTGACAAAAGATAGACGTGTGATTGGTCCAACGAATACGTAGCTTCCACCACACTCTCAGCTTAGGAGGGAACAGAGCATTGGCGCCCGCTCCATAACCAGTTATGCCAAAATGAATATCCGCGCGCGGAAGTTTTCGGCTGCTTTCGAAGGTTGTCGTGCACGCATGAAGCGGCTAGCGTCCGCTGGTCAACGCTATCAACTGTTTTTTAGGGGAAGACGACGTGTAGCCTAGGGCACCGAACTTTAACCTCTTGATGGCAATTCAGCACCTTTTGAATGTAACTGCAGCGTCACGTACCACCACTGACTTCGCCGTTCACATTTCGCATACAACGTTTAGCATGTTTGTGTGGACAACTCTTGAGGAACGCGCTTCTGAAACCAATTCCTGTATATATAAAAAAAATATTTTGGAATCTACACGGACAGTTTGCCGTGTAGATTCCAAAACCGGCCGTTCATGTAGCGTATATTCTGCAAGCGTTCCCTCTGCCATGTTACTTTCGCAATGTAAAAGTGGTATTACGAAGCAAGCAATAACTCATCACTCGCTTACAAATTACTGTCGATTATTATAAATCTTTCCAGAAAGTTGCAACCACTGTCTCTAGCCGAAATGAAATTCATAGCAGTCAATTGTGTTAAAAAAAAGGGCACTCCTAAAGGGTGTGCCCTATATAGTGATTAGACATCTCCAGGAAAATATGTATGTACTCATTTGGGCAGAACTTTTGGCGGAAAGTAGCGTAAACTAGCCACGAGTGTAAGGGTGAAACAAGCGTATGCACTAAAAACGCGGTAACGTCGGCACCTCAAAGGAATTCATATCATGCACTCCGCTATTCAATCATTCCCACGTACTTTAGGCATGGATGCATTGAAATATGGCTGCTTTACCTACCCGGGTACAGTCACACACTCACGAAGGTGCCCGTGTTTGTTCGCGGTAGTTTCTCTGCGACGACGTGAGAAACCGGCGGTGGCATCATCCTCGAAGTGCTCAATGTGCGTGGCTGCTCAAAGGCTTAGCGCGGCCGCCGCGCTCGACTCAACGCTGTTCGTTTCTCTTCGTCCGTTTTCAGCTAGCCCCTGCTTCATGTTACGTTAAAAAGTCGTGGTTGCGTCAACTCATCGTCGCAGTGTATTCCCCTAGGTCACGTAAAGATCAGAAACTCAACCGAAAAAAAACAACAAAAGGTTCATAACTATAACGGCTATAGTTATGAAATCGCTTTTGTTTCGGTTTTTCTTGGGTTCCGGTTTTCGAATATCGGTTACCAATTTAGCGTTCAGCCAAAACCGGTTCATTTTCATTCGTGTGAAACGCGGAAAAAAAAGGCCTTTAGAAAGTTGTCCAGTAGAAATCAAAATTGTCCCCCCCCCCCCCAAAAAAAAAAAAATCCAAGCTGCATTTTTTTTTTGTACTTTCTATTTAGAGGTTAATGGCGTGTCTGAAATTGTAGCGGGACACTTCATTCTATCAATTCGCCGAAGGCCGAATGTTTGAATTCCCGCCTATGTATATTCGTCTTTCCGGTCTATATAGGGAGATTCTTCCATCGTCATGCCACAACACTGTAAAGGCTACACGCGCTGCCCACCGCACGAGTTAAAACGAGTATTCAGACTCTTCCTGTGGGCCAAGGGTCTCGCGCTCTTGAGCTTCCCTGTAACCCCAAGCTAAGGTGTACTAGAACGGGGTAGTGCGCCGTCCGGCGGCCGTGAGAGTGTCGCAATGTGCAAACACACCGCTGAGGGCGCTGGAGGGCAGAGCGCGGTAGAGTGCCTTCATACACACGCGCGCTTTTGCTTGAGTGGTGACATCTCAGCCATTTTTCCGCCCAATCGTTTTTTGTATGCATTTTGAAGTGCGCGCAATCCGGTGTCACTCAGCTCGAGCGCGTAGCTTTGGCTAATGCATAGACGCCATTTCACCGCCCAAGTCACGCACCGAGTGCGCGAGAGTGTCACGCGCTGGCACATTCAGGGCAACAATGGATGTCTTCACCCTGAGACAGACAGACATGTAGGCACCCTAGAGCGCGGCCATCCGACAGCAGACAGAGGCCTGGCCGCCGCAGCAGCGACGCTTCCTTCAGCCTGAAGATGGTCGCATTCTTCGTTTGTTTTTGCCTGCTCGTTTGCGAGAAAGATTAAGTTCAACCCTATATCACACCCCCATGAAAAAGCGTGATTTGAGCGAGCGGCAGGACCATTTCAGAGCGTAAACGCCATTTTGGAGGGGTATATTTACAGTATCGCTTCTCTAATTTTCTTTTTTTTTTCGTTTCGCTGTTAAAGAAGAAGAATTGTCTATCTCATCTTGCGTGAGCATTAAGAAAGCGAAGTCTGAGAAGTTGATATGATATGCGATGCTTTCCTCTCGTTTTAGTATCAAGGCTTTTTTAATTCTATTTTCGGCAGCTGTACCTTTTGCACACCTTTATAAACCTAGTTTTTGTTCTGGTGTTAATACATATTTTTGTGTAGCACGAAATAATGAGAGTGAGGTTTTCTTGACTTCTGCAATCTCAGTCCAATATTATAGACCAGAAAATGTCTAAATTGACTTCATCTATAGTCAGCATGCATCATATAAAAATAAACACGAAGACTGGCAAGATAAATGGAGCAACTACAACTATTGTCTTAATTGAAGAGAAATTTGAGAAATTTGCTCTGTCTGAGATCTCACACAGGTCACAGATTCTTCTTAGACGTTTTCGATTTTTCTCTTCGTCCATTTTTGTTTTCTTCTTTTCTTAGAATCAAGCGACCCCACTCCTCAAACAGAAAGGCGTTGCTCGGCGTTCTAAACAAGGAGTGTTTCTCTTTGCATGTATTGAAACCCATCTTGCACCCCGGCGACAAACAGCGCCGCTCCGTCTTCCTCTTCACCGTATTTAACATCGTTGTGATCGAGACCCTTGCCTCTTCGGCACAGCAAGCAGCCACACAATAGTGTACGCCGCTCCACACACAACGCAAAACAAGAATAAAGAGTCGCACCAACAGGTCCTAAGCCAGCCTCGCTAAACGCTACCTGACCGCGCTCCCGGCCCCGCTGTGACTGGCAACGCCACCCCAGGCCTCTGCGGCCAGAATTGGGCCACTCGACACCCAGATCCTAAGGAGATGCCGATGCAGTCGGCACATTTCCCAGTTCTAGTAGACCCTACCCAAACTACGCTGAGACCTTGTAGAGTTAAGCCAATGTAAGACTGGTCACACCTCATACAAACGACAGTCTACAAACACGAGTTACCTCAATATCCGTGGTTCGAAGGCCGTGTGTCAAGTTTCTCCCTGAACTCATTGCCTTATGGCACTCGAAGCATGGATCTTGCGGTGACTCGCGCTCGAATCTGTATGCATGCTGCCTTTTGTCTGATGTACAGATGCTTTAAACACGTGCCAGATTGAGCCGCCATTGCCAACTTCCTCTTGACTCACCGCGGTGCCGAGGCACTGAAGCGCCCGGGCGTTGACGAGCCTCCACAAAGGCCTATGCTGGGGAGAAGGACAGAGTAACGCTTAAATTGGCAATAACCTGTCCTGCTGTGGCCATGATGAAGTGAAGCGAACGCAATAAGAGGAAACAAAAACTGAAAATCAGTCATGACAGCTGCCTGAAAGCGTCCATATAACCAGTGTGACCCCGGCTGTACGCTCTCCACTGCAGCACATCTAATCTTTGCGGCGAAGAGGTGGTATTTACCTTACGCCATGGACGAGGTCGTTGTTCTCAGCGTATGCCCAGAGAAAACTCACACTTTCCGCATGCCCAGAATGGGGATCTTTAGCATAGACTGCACGACGTGAAAGCTTTGTGGAAGCTCGCCGTCAGCACACATTCACTATACCCTGTTCACCGTGACCCTGTTTAACCCCCTATGTTTTACTTTAGCGGACTGCTAGCCACCGGAGCCGATTCATAGCCCGGAGCGTGTCACGTGACTTTCCGGTTGAGTGGAGCCAACCGGGAGATAATGTCCCTGCGGTTAACTCCACCAATCTTCACCTTCAAAAAAAAAAAAAAAAGTTCGCAGCAGGCTAAACCGATATCCCCTCTGCTTGCCGACAACGCATCTCTACTTCGTTTTAGCTTGAGTTCAGACTCCGCCGACGCTACGAGCTAATGGGACCAATCAAGCAGCGGCAAAAGCGCAAGGCACTAGACCTTTTCTGTTTGATTGGTTCAGCGATGATAGAACACGTATACAGAAACACGACGAACACCGTTAACGGCGCGCCTCTGACGGTGTGCGATTGGTACCATCACCTTCTAGCGTCAGCTGCTTCTGGACTTAAGTGAAACGAAGTACAGATATCAAAATGTCGCGTCTTCGAATCTTACAACGATCGCCAATAGTCTATTTCCAAAAGTCCGCGCCAATGCCTGTCCACCATTGCTTGATCACCTACTCTGAACATGTACTGGACACGAGGGCTGCGTCAGCGTTCGGCGAGGACTCGGATCCAATCACGCGCTTCGAGTCCAATGGATGGATGCATGGATGTTAACGGCCATACCCTTTGTAACGGGCGGTAGCTTGCGCCTCCTTGGCGGTCGCCCATCAATGTGCGACCGCCAAGGTCACCCATTCATGGGCGATCTTGGCGGCCACAAGAAGATGGCGGCCCACAAGAAAATCGCCATCGTGATGCCCACGAGAGGATGGCGGAATAAGGTGCCAATACCCTGAACTCAGGGTATTGGCACCAATACCTGAACGTATTCAGTAGCTCCATGGTTTGAAGTTTTCAAATTTCGGTTGTAACCGGCCTCATTTTTCAAAAGACCGCACCATCTAGTAGCTTGCGTGTCAATGTCCGCCATTGTTCGATCGCGCACTCTGAGCATGTAATTCACATGACGGCTGCGTCACCGTTTCCCGATTCAATCACACACTTGATGTATGCTCAAGAAATGGCAAACGCCAATGTTGCTTCGTGGTGTTCTGAAAATAGATTTTATATTGTGATCGGTGTAGACCCGATGGGGTAAAACTCTCCTTCTCGCAGGTCGGACATCGCACTGCTACACGTGTCGTTCGAGGGGCCAGCTGGGAGACTGTCGGGACCCGTTCCCCTACAACGAGACCACGGCCGACGGCGTCCGAGGTGTCGACGCCACGCCGTGCGCGTCCAAGTGGTGCGGCAAGCTCATCGAGGGAAGGGACGACGGTGAGGCATTCGCTCGTGGGCCATATCGCTTTCCCGAAAGCTGCTCTCGGGGCAGCAGACCAATACCGCTTATTGCCACAGACAAAATGAGAACGGCAAGGAGGTCATCTAGCGCGAGCTTCGGCCTTCGATGACGCTTCGCCGTCTCGTGAGCCTCGATCGTGCACGCGCAGCTAAAGCTCGAAGGAAGTGAACGAGCGCGTGCTGGAGGTCGGGCATCGGTATAAAACGTCCTGCCGCTTTCCTTTTTTTCTTTTTTTGTCGAAGACTGCAAAAGACGATGAAGAGTTTTAGGGAACCGTTTTTGCACGTCCTTTACGGTACGATGGGCCCACGAAATGCGCATATAGGAGTCTTCTGCGGTAGCAGATGCGCAGTCCGTACTGTGCATTCCGTCAACGTTCGTAAATCCTCGACCCGCCCTAAGTGGCAAACACAGCGAAGTTCTACAAATGTACGCACAATAAAGCTGCAGGGGCGCGCATCTCGGCGTCGCCACGCGCTAACGTTCAGCCCGCTGTGAGACGCTGCAAAGACGCGAACTAGACGGTGTTGCGTGGATCTAGTAACGACTTTACAGGGAGAAAGCCAGCCGGCTCCGTTTTCTGCGTGGCACGTCATAGACTCACCTTGTATGTGCCGCTACTGCAGTGCCACCAACAGGTGCTTGACGTCCTGCAATGGCGGTGGCGCTTTGCGGAGAGCAAGTCGTCTGCTTTCTGCGCAGGAGTTGCGGTGACGTCAGCAAGATGCCGAGCTCTGATTGGCTCTAATTGAAGGATAAGTGGGTAGACCTCAAAGCAAGCTGCCTCGAGGTCTACCCGCTATCCTTCATTCAGAACCAATCAGAGCTCGGCGTTGACATCACCGCAGCTCCAACAAAAGAAGCAGACGAACTCTTGCTCCGCACAGGAAGCTCGCGAGCCAATAGCGTCGTGCCGGATGGATGGATGGATGAATACGGCTGAGCCCTTTGGATCGGGCGGTAGCTTACGCCACCTAGCCATTTTGTTTTACCATTTAAGCTTAGAATATTTAAATGTGAAATCTATATTCACTCCGCAGTGCAAAGAAAGTGAGGCTATGAAACCCCCTTGCCATCAGTGGATAAGAAAATACCTAGTTTTCTCTCGATTTCTGCCACCATTCACTTAATCTTTGCTTGGTAATCTCTACAGTCTTGAAATCCACTCTCCCTTCGCTGTCTCTAAAACCCAATGACTTTATTAAATCTATGTTGTCTTCCCCTAGCGGTTGCCTATTGTTGCCTCCCCCTAGCGGTAGCCGGCGCAGAATCATCGGGAAGCAATTGCGACGAACAGCACAGCGGACAGTGTCCCCGTCGTCATTACGACGGGGTGGCAGTACGAATCCAAAGCTCCTTCCGTGGTGTCAATATGACGAAGGGAAAACTCCTTCACGAATCTGACCATATGCACGACGTGAAGGAGGTCCGTTTCGACGGACGAGTGAATGTCACGGCGCGCTGTACTCCGCAAACGAAATTGAGAGCGCACGCAAAAAAAATGTCGAGCTTCGCATAAGTACATAAGAGTTTTCTTAGTCGGCGTTGATGGCGTTGAGTGGACTGCGCTAGTCATGTACGTTTATGGCTTCCCGAATCAGCTTGACAACTACCGGGCGATTGTTTTCACGCCGTTCCGCTGTTTCCAGCACTAGACTCTCCTCATGTAGGCTGATAGAAACATCGAAAGGTGGGTTCCATAGCTTGGGTGGACGACCTCTTTCCGCTTCTCGTTACCGGTGAATTAAGTATATGATGCATATTTAAAGGGATACTTCAACGAAATTTGAAATATTCCCGTCGTGTTCAAAAATAGGTTGAATATGATCCACAATATCCGTAAATGACAATCGCACGTTTGTATTTTGAACCTGGTGGCTGTATTTCTCGTTATAAACGGCCCACTCTGGCAAGCGCTCGGAGAAGGCCCAGCTTAGAGCACGTGACATCCAAGGCAATCGTGACGTAGGTCGTCTCAAGACGAGCAAAGCTACGGCGAGGCTGACGTCGAGAGGATGGCCTAGTCGTTCCAGCCACCGAAGCGGCTGCTTTTGTACGAATTTTGAGTGACGGGTTAATCTTCTATAATCTTCTAGCGGGACAATAGCGACTTCTGAGACACACAAAAGGGATTCTCGGGAAGAGGGGAGTTCCTCCTTCCCCCCTTCTCTCGTCGTGACCGGAGACGAGACAACCTCCGTCACTAGCTGTCAAGGTTCTTAGACGAGCATTACAAACGAGGCGTTAGCGACATCCACCAGGTGCTCTTTGCTAATCGTTTAATTTGTTTTAAAATTCCTTTTCGAGACTTTTTTTTAACAAGATATTGGTATGTTCCATGTGATACTGCTCTTTTGAACACATATAGACCAAAAAATGAGCGCCGAAATTTCGTTGTAGTATCCCTTTAAGAGTTAGCTATAGGTAACCATGTTGTTCCATCGCCGCTGGGAAAAATAAATTGTATTATTCGTCAGCAGCTTAAACCAAAACGCGAACTGCAAGGTGCACAATTCACATGCCCAGACCGCGCAGGGCTCCGCCTCGAACGGCTTCGAAGGGAAACCTGAAAACTTTGTGCCGTGCGCATTCTTGTATACGTACTGCTGCAGCTGACCACGCAGCAATTGTTGTGGATTTTTCGGTGCGGAATAGCCATCTCGGAATTCGCAGCCCAGAACCGCTACGACGCACAACCAAAGCAGCGACTGGCAAAAGCTTCCCGATGAAACGGACCCGTTTGCCGCTAGGGGCCCCTAATCGGGGCTCGAATTGGGTCCGCCCGGCTTCTATTGCTGTCCATGCATGGCAGAGGCTTTCTTTTCGGAGGACGGGTTTCTACCCACACGCAATGCCCACAGCTTCATTTACAAACGTTCCTCATCATAAGCAACGACTCGATGTTGTTTGGACCGTTAGGCACCGGGATCCTGTTTACTGCCGTCGAAAGAGGGGAGGGGACTGTTGCCAACTGTCGATCGGGTGCCCAGACCGTGCCCGTCAGCCGGGTCGGTTTGGTCAAAGGTCAATAACATGAAATAAATAATATAATTAAACTGTCACTCAATGAACCATCACCCGAATGCGGCTACGTAAAAGACCAAACGTTTAGTTCCCATACCGACACAACGCAAAGAAAAAATACATCACCGAGCTATTTGCAGAGCGATTTGATTCAATAAACATTGTACCGGAAAATAAAAACTAAATTAATTTAAGTACCAATATTGAAAAGCCACAATGCTGCACAACCAGAAAGAACAAAACTTATATTCACCGAGAAAAAGAGAACAGCAATGTGGAGTTTCAATTGTCCTGCCTCCAGCGCTATAGCTTCCGATCTTCGAGAGCGCCTCGGCGTCTCGTGCTCCTCGTAAAGCTCATGCTCGAGGCCGGGTCTTCAAAGGACACGCCCTGCCGTTCTAATTCTGTCAGTGACTATAGCATTCTCATATCACGAGTTCGGTACACGGCAGTTATCACACCACACGCTCTCTCCAACGTGTTTTTTTTTTTTTGTCAACATAATTAAGGTTGTTGACAGAATGAAAACGGCAGGGCGTCTCTTGGGCGTCCGGGCTCTCACCCCACACTCGTTGCCCTTTGTCGTGCTTTGTCTGCGCGCGCACAATCGAAGCTCACGAGAAGCCCAAAAGTTAACGGAGGTATAGGAAGATCGCGCTTGAGGAGGGGCAACTGAACCCCCCCCCCCTCCCCCCCCCCCCCGTCGTTCTCATCCTGCCAGTGAATATAGTACAATGAAATGTGGTCACGTGGGTCACCAGCTCAAGTGGTCAACGCCGTGCTTCGATATAACCTTGATGATAACAATGCCAAGAAGTTCGCATCTCGTGTCCGCGCTAACTGTAGGGCGCAATTTACGTCGAAGAGATTTTTTTCTGCTCTGCACGTGGTCTGTTCACACGTATATCAGATGCGCTATCTCTGCGCTATTAAGCCGAGGTCACACTATTCGTACATCATACAAAAAAAAAAACAGCCTGTAAACACGAGTGACCGCAATGCCCGTGGTTCGAATGCCCGGTGCCAAGTTTCTCCCACAACCCACTGCCTCGCGGCATTTGAAGCACGGATCTCGCAGTGACTGGCGTTCGAATCTGTATGCAGACTGTCTCTTTTGTATGACGTATAAGCAGTGTGACCCCGGCCTTAGACAGTACTGGATATAGCGCTGACCTTGCCGATACAGCGCCACATCAGCGCTAAGTTACGTTCAGGTCAGCGCTGTTTCTATAGTTTGTTTCTTAGTCCAGACGCGGCCTATGTTACGAGCTGATGAGATCAATCGGGCAGAATAAAAACTGCACCATCATGGTTTCCATCATGTTTATGTAGGTGTTTCATCATCGCTGAACCAATCACATACAGGGAAAGGCTTAATGACTTTCGCTTTTGACGCTGTTTGATCGGTCCCTTAGCTCGTATACCGTCGGTTGCGTCTGGACTTAAGCTGAAACAAAGTATAGTGCTGGTCTATAGCACTACACTGTATGTTTGAATCGGCCCTTAAAGTGTTCAAGCTCTTTGGATCACGAACCCAACCAACACGCTCCTTTCGCAACATTTTCGATTCTCGCAGACTTTGACCTGGCCACCGAGCGGATGTGCTTGCAGAGGCCACCGGACGACCAGGAGGAACGCTGCGCCGAAACGCTCTACCAAAACAGACGAGTCTACATGTGCTTCTGTCGCGGCGACCTGTGCAACGCCGCTCACACCACAACCGCCTCGGGACTCCTTACAACAGCCCTGACGGCTCTTCTCTGCATCGCCTTCCACGCTGCCAAACTTCTCCATGCTTAACGCCTGCAAACACGCTACAAAACGTTAGCGTCTCTTTCTGAAACAAGTTCGACAAGCTTACATGTCTATACCGCGTTTGACACCAAGTTCGAGCACAGTTGCGTAAATGCGCAAACGCGTTGCCACGACGAGCTTCAAAAATCAGGCCGGCCACTGTGCCCCGTTTCACCCCTACGAGTTGAAGGAGCCAATCCATAGGGAGTATTCACTGGACGCCATATTTGTGGGTGCTGTTTAGAGCTCATGCTCAAAACGAGCTCACATCAAATGGCCGCAAAGACCGGCACTCTTGATGGTGCGGAATGCTCGTTGCAAAAGAACTGCGGAAGATAGTTACCAGCACGCGCTCAGCATTCGCGCACACAGCTATGGCCGCCAGTGAATACTCCCTATAGCGAAGCACGTGACCTTCCGATCGGACGGAGCGTGAAGTCACCTGAAACGCGTGAATCTGCCGGATTGGCAAACATAGTCCGTGGAGTCCGTTGGGGTACGTCGAAATCCGAAACGGAGTAATAGAGACCATGCTCCATTGTTCTACCTCTCAATGTTGGTGTCTTTAGTAAATTATGTGTTTAGGCTGAGAGCTGTCACACTGCCACAGCAATAATTGGAAGCAACGGTCATCTGGCATCGTACAGACACGCGTACCTTCGAAAGCAACGCTGTGCAATATGCTTGGCTAGTCACAGCCAAGTTGGCGGAACGTGTACAAAACGACACTGAACAGAAAGTAAAATATATTGTTAGTTTACCAAGAATTGGTGTCGTAAGTTTATTTAGAGACGAAGTGTTTTTCCTCAGTTAAACTTCTACTGCGGCTCCAAGAGCGCTATTACGTGGAGAAAAAGCCATCGTATAATTTTTAAACAAGCTCATGAACGGAGGCGAACAAAAGATCTTTATAAAGTTGTCTTCATCCGGTGCCTCTGTCTTTATACTCAAGCTCTGTGGATGTAGGGTACAAGATGCAATAATAACGAGCTACTTTTATGCACAGGGGAAAAAAACGCGCAAGTTTGAAGCCGCCATTCAAAGTTGGCGCCATGCATGCTCGGATCTGCTTTGGAGGGTTCATCTCTAAGTTTTTGTATCAAGCAGTCACACCTTTAGAACAGTTTCAAAAAGTTGCGCATTGTAAGTACTTCAAGTAAAATCAATAGTGATCTCTTTTATTGAGGACACAGAAAGAAAATGTTTCGGGGATGACATTTGACAGGCCTGCAATGACATTTATTGCACACACAAACAAAAGAAAAAAAAAGAATCGATGTATGGGGAAACAATGTTCTGCTCAGAATCAGACAGAAGCAAAATATCAATTCTCTCCACAAATATTTTATAAGGCACTGGGTAAGACCATCTACTGAATAGATGGTGTCATGAAAGATGGGAATATGTATTATCATCAGCCATTTTGGTGTGAAGAATAGTCTCACACAACTTCCTCGCACTAGAAACCCTGCCTAGGACGAAGCAGTGAAATAAGCTGGCAAATAATAATTTGTATCGAATTTAGAATGATTGAATTTGTAGGTTTTCTTGAAAATTGCATAAATATAACCATTGTATGAGTTGAGATAGTCCCAGAAAGGAAAGAACTTTCGGCATCAATGCCGCAGAACTCCTCTTCAGTCATGATGTAATTAAGATAGAATGTAAATACTCTCGACTAAATGTATTTGAAAGATACCAAAATACTATCAAAAGTATCTTAAATACAGTATCTTGAGTAGAGTGTTTAAGATAGGCACAAGTTTAGTATATAGGTCATGCGACACCCAGATGGCTGACTGGATGCTTCGTTAGAAGCATCTATTGTGTCATAGAAAAATGTTTTAACGTTCATCTTTCATAGACTGTAGCGCCACCTATCATTCCGTTCAGGACAGATTAAAACGCTTATATTAGAACCAGCCGTCTATATGCTTTTTGTGACAAAACTTTAACTGCACTACGTTCACTCAGCATATCGACCCCCCCCCCCCCCCCCCCCCCTTTTTCAATCTTTCGTTTCCTTTTCCTTAAAAACAATTGCCAAATCTGGTTTCGTTTCAACTTCTTAATTAACACATAAAGGTTAAAAAAAAAAAACGCTCCTTCCACCTTTCACCTTGGGAAAGACATCCACGGGCTACGTATACATTGAAAACCTCGGCCGAGTCCAACGGGGAAATAATTGCGTTCACCTCATCCACACCATCTGCCAGTTCTGCTTTCACGTCTCGTGCGCACGCAGGTAAGTGGTCTCAGACATGAAGGGTGACTTGCGGAAGATGGGCTCGTCGTCCATGTGCTCCACGAGAACGTCGGCCTTCACTTCCAGCGTCACCTTGTGGAACTCGCGAACGAAGGTGAAGAAGAAGAGCACCAGGCACAGGCCGAGCAACCACTCGAACGTCGCTGACGCCACTAGCAGCGGGAATCCCTGCGCATGAGAAGGAAGAACCTCTTACAATCGATAAATCTCTCTCGAAAGTCGCGTGCACATTGGTGAAAGGTCTGAAGCACTGCACAATGCCGGAACAAGCGACACCACAGAACGTGAGATTCTAAAACTACGTAAGCTAGATGAAGTGGCATTAGTAGCGTTTCCGGGGTTCCAAAATTGCCGGTGTCTTTTGTGTCCGCCATTGTGCGCTGCGCTTAGAGTATCGGCACTCCGTTCCCCGACACTGTTGTGGGCGCCGCCATTTTGGTGCTTGTGCAGAGCAGACGCAACTGCCAATCGTAAGAATTCAAAAGTGCGACTTCCCCAGCATTACATTCGGTGTTAGGAAGCTCATGTAATATTGCATTGCTATGTCGCGAACTGTTTAAACATTTCTGGAGGAGGAAAAAGTTTCTGGTGATTTCAGTGAAAGCTTCAGATAATTGGCAACCATGATTTTAGGCCACAAGATTGGAAAGTGTCGTTACTCCGAAGCGTAATTTATTTAGTGGTACTAGTGTCACACATTTACTGGGCTTGACGATACATGTTGTTGGGCTAGTTGTTGTATGATACGGAGGAAACGTGTATGTGCGAAACGGAGGCTAGTACGAAAGAAAGGGGCACAGACAGGACAACTTTGTTTTTAATCCCACGTGACTAGGGCATTAACAAAGCAGTTCGCTAGCGGACAGTCCTGTGGGATTTACTTAAATCACGCGCGCTTTCTTAAAAGCTAAAAAAAACTAGACATACAAAGTGTACCTCGACTGAAATGACACGATGGGATGTTTTCTCAACATGTCCTACAACTTTTGTATTCAATGGCGTGTACACAAATAGTATTTAAAAATTTAACTAATTAATTTGTTATTCACCCAGTTTCGTACATCGCAAAAATAGAATCTCGATACGGCAGAAGCGCGTTGGATCGACATGCGTAGCGCGCTCCAGCTTTTTTTTTTTTTTTTTTTAATACTGGCACAAGTTAGCTCGAACACCCTGTATGACTCATGAATAAGATCAGATACATTTATTTAAAAGGGAAGTCATGCAAGTCACTCTAATAGAGTGACATTATGACGATACAAATAAGATAACTTAAAGAGCAAGTAATACAATTCTGGCCGCTGCCTTCCTGTCCTGCCCCAGCAATGTACTTGTCCGACTGCATTTTTGTATACCGCGGTGTCTCGGGCTGGTTAATTTGACTAGAAAAATATAAACATGCACAATCGAATTTGTGTACTTATTGGCAAGATCAGCATTCTGAAATGAAGTTAACAAGTGTCAATCTTTAACAATTCTAGCTGGAGCCATAACGGCGTCTTGCAACAAGAAATAAAGTCGTGCAGGTGTGCTTCTATTCGCACAATCGGACCTCGACCGAGTATAGCTAGTGATCACGCAGGTTAGATCTGATATATCAATTCTCGACATGAACTACACATACCTCATCTGAAGGCTGCTTCTGCTTCAGGGGATGCGTGTAATTCTGGCTGTACCACTGTTGTTTTCCGATGGGAGAAAGAATAGCCACTGCAAAAGATAAATAATATGGCTAGATATAGCTTACTTATATTTCAAGAGCATGTATCACGCCTGCAAACAGGGGGATTGCCTTTAAAGAGCATGTATCACGCCTGCAAACAGGGGGATTGCCTTTATGTTAGCAACAACGTAACACTTGAAACAATGTGAAAATATATATGTAAATATTTTTGTCAAAGCAGTAAATATTAAAAAAAAACATTTGTAACACTATACATGGATGGATGGATGTTGGATGGACGTTAATGACTATAACCCTTTGTAAAGAGTGGTAGCTTGCGCCACCTAGCTTCAGTTTAGAAAAAACAAACACGATTTTTCCCGCCTAAGCCAATTTTCTCCCCCTAACTATCACCAGGCATTCCACAAAATATTTATTCGATTTTTAACTCTGTTAAATATTTCATGTATTTTGAATAATCATTCTATTGGTAGTCACAATAAAATGTGAAAGGTGGTGTCACAAATACATAAAACAAATGATTTACAAACTTTGAAACCAATCAGTTTTAAACCACAATTAAATGAACCAACGCTGTTGCATTATGCACAATTATATAAACACAGATTTACTCTGTATATGGCACTTCGTTCTAATTAAAGTACACGTATAAGTCTACCTCTTTTTCTGCAAGCTTATCGCAGTGCGCATGTTTCCTAAATTCCCATGGCAAGCCCATCAGAATTCCTTACACAAAATGTTGAAAATAGAATATGACTAAAATCATACATACTGATCAGAACAGCAAGACCAGACAAGATCGTGATTGTCAATCGCACGAAAAAAATTCGCCTTCCATTGAAGGAGGGAAACATCCAAAATGTGATCACCGTTTGCATCACCTGCGGAAAAAAAAAAAAAAAGAAAACTTTCAGCCTTTCCACTCTGGTGAACGTGGAAGAGCAGCGGAGCTGTACTATGTGCCGCCATCTATAAGCAACGGCGGCAATCAGAAAACCGGTAAGCCGGTTATCTGGTTGCCACCGTCGCTCATAGGTGGCGCTAGTTGTCCAGAGGGTTGTGTCGAGGTTTATTTGTCCACAGACACGAAACTGAAAAAACTAATCCTCACAGCTCCGCTAAAAAAAAAAAAAAAACGCGAGTGAAGAAAAGATGCAATTAGATCCAATATGTTAAAACAGTTCAGGTATTCTTACCTGATAGCCGAACATCCCAAAGAAGAGCACATTAGCTGACACAGCATGCGCGGTTGGGACGGTGCCCAACTGAAAGAGATGTGGGAAAAGCAGCTCTAGTACATTATTTAGTCCGCACATAACTAAAACAGCAACACTGTATTGAAAGGTACAGCCTTGTAAAGAAATAATCAAGAGCAACTGCACTTTCGCAAATAGACATCATAAATTTACCGAAAGGTCAAAATAAAGCGAGATTATACTGTCATGCAAAATGACAGACAGAGTGGCGACCCATATCAGATGTTGATGGTGACGTACCAGGTGTTCATTCATTGATCCAGATTGCACTGGCAGCTGAGGATATTATTGGACGTCTGGCTTGTCACAGTACATCACCCATTCTCATTTCAATCTGATGCGCGAACCTAACGTAGTAACCCCATTAATATCAGTCCGCGTTGTTCGGGGTGCTTTTATCTGCACCATATCACGAATATTTGATTGTGTTTGTACGCAAAAGCGGTACACGCATGAAGATAATTTGTGGGCTTAGAATTTTAAAAGCACAAATATCGAGATATTTATAAAATGTCAAGGTGCCCAAAACCCATTAGTGTACATATAATGGCTACAAAAAACAAATTTTTAAAAAAGGTCTACTCGGCGTCTACATTCCAATAATATCTGCTGAAGACAAAAAGTGAAGTTATCCGAAATGAGGGGAGGGGGGCTGAAGAAACCTACAGGAAAAGCCGCCACGGACGCCATGCCGAGACAGGAGACGACAGCGGTGAGTGCCGAAGCGCCGTTGAGAGCATCCAGCCGCTTGCTGTAGGCGGCGTTCAAGGCCTGGACAGTCTGGAACCTCACCAGGACACTCATGAGACCTGAAGAAGGTTCGGCAACAAGGATAGCGTCGTGAAAAGCCTGCCCCCGTCGAAAGGTAATGGCTTTCCGGAAACCCTTTAAAACCTATATGTAAGCGCATTAAAATTATTAAACGATTCACTCGACACACAAATGCGTAATAAAAAAGAGAAGTTATGATTTAGTGTTCATGTTTTTTTGTGCAAAATACGAGCAACCGTTACAAACCAGATCCCTTTGCTTTGCTGCAATACTATGAACTATTATGACGCAGTTGCAGCGACCTGCGCCTTAAAATATGCATCACATGCAGGGAGTACCTAAATAAATAACACGCTTTTTTAAATTTATTTTTAAGGATAATTACGTTTTCATGGTAATAAAACCCGAGACTAGAAACACAGAATGGGACGAACACAATACAACGTGTTGTGTTGTGTTCGTCCTCTTCTGTGTTCCCGAGTCTCGGGTTTTATTACCATGAATTATCACCAGCTCGTTTGTTTTGTTAAGTATTATTGCAATTACGTTTTGCCGAAATGACGGAACGTAGAGCCAGAAGTTGGGCGCAGACACAAAAGTCCAGAAATTGGAGTTATTTGATTTTGAATATAAAGTGACTTAATTCTATTTCATAATCAAAACATCTGTTTGCAGACTGTCTTTTCTATGATAAACAAGCGGTCTGACCCCGGCTTCACGCTACATTCGGGCCCCGACTAGGCATCCGATGACGCATCGTTAAGCTTTAAGATGACAAAAAACACGCGGTTTACTATTCGTCCAGGCATCCAGTTTAGGCACTTTAAACGCGCCCGATTACAGCTGCCATTGTTTACCTTCTCTTGTCTTACTTGAAGCGACACTGACAGGGTATTTATGCTCGCCGAGGTTTTTTTTTAGTTGTACATGGCATATGAGAGCCCAATTACCCAGAACAGAATTAGTAACTCAAAATTCCTTTCTTTTTTTTTTTTTTTTTCGAAAATTGCCGATTAAGAACTGGCCAGTTTGAGTCACGCTCACTCTCTTCTTCGTGGTCGCGGGCCATTCCCTAAGATTTAGACAAAACCACCAAATTTAATCAAAATCGGGGGTCACTAAAGGCACACACTCACTACTAAAAATAGAAAAAAAAAGAAAAAAAGATGAAACCCATTTTTGTGGTTTCTAAAAAACTGCGAATACGTTAATTAAAAAAAAAGTTGCACAGAAAGCGGAAGCATTCTGTGCATTCACAGCGTAATTCTCAGCATGGCGTCGCATCGGTCGCATAGCGTATCGTGGGTCTCGCGGGCTGGACGGCTGGTCGGCGATGGCAGCGGACGACAGGCGTCGAACTTCTACCTCAGAACTGTCGTTCGTGGTACCGGCGAATGTGTCTTCCTTCGAACGAGAAATTTTATACCGACCACAAGAATTGGGATTCATTCCGTACGACACGCACTGAAACCTATATCCTGCTGTGGTAATCATGAAGTGAAGTAAGCGAAATAAAAGAAAACAAAAACTGAAGGTTGGTTATGGCAGCGCTCATGCACAGCTGCTTAAAAACGTCTATCGTCGAAACCGCTTTTTTTTTTTTTTTTTCATGCAGATAGCAGATAGTTTATATCATTGGAGCAGATGGTTCCGCTGAGAAATGGTTTCTCGTACTTAGTGCAAGGAGAACACAAAATATTGCATCACAAACGTTAATCCCGACGGAAATCTGATGTAATGCGTTTTAACCTCAATGTAACGGGCAGATAGTGAAGCCTCGTGAAAAACATGCCTGTCGCGTCACCTATTTGGAAGCCTATCTTGAAAAGGCTGATCAGTACAAACGCTAGAACAATCAAGAGCTAACGTGACCATACCCGACGATCACAAACGATAACTTTCAACAATGTAATCAGTCAAGGGTGACGGCCTATTTATCGGAAGACTATACTCCTTCCCACATATACGATCGCTACAAGCCTTTCCAGCCAATCCAGTGCTGAGTACGCATCACGTGACTGCGCACCCCACGTGTGCAGTCACGCTATAAACATAGCACGCATGCTGCGACCCTCCCAGCGTCACGTGACAGTCAGAGAGCATCAGATTGACTATACTTCGTCTAGCCAGGAATCGGAACGCAAGCCGGCCGCCTGAGCAATGGCTAGCTTTTGTTTGTTCCTAATTGTGACCGAAAAGTGAACCTCGTGGGTGATAAAAAAAGAGCGACATGGGTGACTTACCGAGCGTGACCGAGATGAAGAGGCATAAGGAGAAAAAACCGCTCTGTGGAGGATCCGCCCCAGCTTCACTAAAAGGAAATTCCGACCAAGTCAGATTAGTATTTGTTACGCGCAAATGACAGTACCGCGATGTATCATTACAAATTAACGGCAGATTTTAAGACACCCCGGAAAATTGGTACCAGACACGTGTCAGTCTTAGCACGGTCCTGGTTTTATGAAGGTTCCATTAAAAACGTATTTTCAAGTATTAATTATCACTCTACCGATTTTCAATTGAAAAACATAGAATATATATATAGAGAGAGAGAGAAAGAGAGAGAGAGATAGAGATATAGATTAGAAACAAATTCACAAGACCTTTGCGCAAAAGCAATTTTTTCATCCCTCCGTTTATAGTTCTTGATTTTGCTCATTGGGATCCTGATTTCTTCGTAAATATACAAGTTGAACAAGATACATGTTTTCCACGTCCCAATACTCAGGAACGAATCAATTTATGCTTTAGAACCTATTTATCTATATCACAATAGTATCATTCCCACAGCGGGAAATAATGATAGGGGTGAGCAACAGGAAACAAAACAATAATTACAAAAAAACGTCAACTCTACACACATAAAAATAACGTTCTAGTTTTGAACGAAGACCCTTCATGAAGCACCGCAGTTTGTACTCAAAATAACTATAAGCTGAATGACAACGATGTGTAGAACATTGACCACTAAGTTCGTCTTATTCGTGTAAAAAGGCTTTGTGAATGGATCTGTGAACGGCACACCGGTACACGTGAAATAAGTGTTGTATCACCTCGGTGGTACTAAAATTTCTGCGCAAAATGACGCGAGCACACGTCAAGGGAAGCCTCCCAGGCAGTGGCAAAAGGCAACGTCATGAATGTAAGGCGAAAATTTAGGTAAACTGGCTAGTGACGAACGCTGTAGAGTTAACAACTCTAAGCCAGTGCCGGCGTGAAAATTAACAAAAAAATAAAAAAAGTGATTTCAAAACCTCGAAAGGAAATTTAAAAAAAGAAAAAAAAGGATATCTCGAGTTAGAAGCTAGAGAGAGAGAGAGAGAGAGAGAGAGTTGTTTATTTAGAAACACGAAGATGTCAACCTGAATAAGTGCTTACTTTCTACTTCGCGAAAAAATAAAAGGGGCGGAGAGGTGCCTAAACATTCCAAAATAAAGAAAAACGAAGAGAAACCACTATCTCTAAATTTAAAATTTGCGCCTCGCCGAAATACTGTAACCACCAAACAGAATTCCAAATATATGAGGCATTACAAGACCCCTAGCGCCATCCCATATCTGGTTTGCTAACTTCTCGTTGCGGGGCCGCAAAGCTTCGCCGGGAATTTTCAAATAGAGTGCCACAGGCGGCGCTACTTGAATAGACCCTTTCAGAAATTCAGTGCCATCTGGTGGCTGAAATGGCGGTTTAACTTTTGCCATACGAATGGCGGCAATGAACCCGTAGCCTGCAGTATTTTATCGGGCACCGTCACTTTTGCATGTCAACGGCACACGAGAAAAAACTTTTCGCTATCCAGGTTTTTCTGGATCATCTCTTCCAGTGTCGATTCCCACAACGATGCAACCAGTCAGAACGAAGCGCCAACCCAAACAGACGCCTTGATAAAGTTCTATAAGTCAAGGGGTTTCAAAGTCGATTTTGTGCCACTAACAGGTTCATTGGGCTCGGATTGGAAAAATGAACACTTACGCAGCGCTTGCATTCAATTCCGGTTTCGCAACGCGCTAACGTCTAGAATGTATTGGACTCGAATCCTCAGCTTAGGAGTATCTTCAACATGTTCCTTCATCAGTAGATCGAAAGCCGCCATTGGTATGGCACATATGCCATTTTTCAGATGATGATGATAGTGATCAAAGTGGCCAGACTGAATTTCGGAAAGGGTCTATTCCTCGGCTATGCTCGGCTTCAGGGTGTCTAGTCCGAGCAGATACAATTACCGCGCATTCCGTGTACTGATCTAAAGAGCATATGGTGATTGCAGGTGCCATACATGTCGAAGCGATTTCCATCATGTGTGAAACCACACAAAAATTATCAAGCTGAAGCTCAGGAGATCAGTAACTCGGTTGAGAATGTTTGGAAGAAGTCCTGCTTATCTTTTTTTCTTCTTTTTTTTTCCTTCATCAGTTATCTCAAGCGTCACACCCAACAGAAGATATTTTCGCTGTTGAAAGCTGACATTCTCAAGTGTATATACGTCATAGCCGTAAGGGCTATCCCCGATTGAAATGTAATGCGGCAACACTTTCTCCACCTAGCATAGAATTAAGTTACAAACGAAATTACTAGATCGCTTATGTATTGAGTCACATTTAGCTAGTCTCAAGCATTAGTAACATTTCAATTACCTTATTTAATTTAAAATCCGCGACGTCCGGCCTACGAAGGCCGCAATTTCCTGAGTATATTATTCAGTTCCCAATGACGAAAAAGATGGCGACGCAATTTCGTTTCAATTGGACGCACGATGTATTTTGAGCCATTGACATAAAAAACGTAGAAATCATCGGTGAAGCTGGAACAACGCGTGGTGAGTAAAATATCTTACGTGAATAACGTCAATATGGAGGCTCGCGGTGTACTCTGTTTTACATTCATCCCAGCCAATGCTACGCACCAATCAAACTAACCAGGCAGCGTCAAAAACGAAACGTCACGGCGCTCGTTGTCGTCACGTGATCACCGGCTGAACCAATAGGGTGCAGGGCTTGCGCTATGAGTCCTAGTGTTTATAACAGGAGCGATTGTGCTTGTGTATTCTCGCCTCTGAATGCGCCCGATTTAAGATGAAACGAAGTGTATACTAAAGTGCGACAAAACTAATTCCCCATCTTCAAGTGCGTTCAGTTTAACGGAATAAATTGAACGTGCAGTTCTCACGGGGGGGGGGGGGGGGGGGGGGTAGTTTAAAGTGAAATACTCTCAGATACTTAAATAGCTATTGCAACAGTAGTACATCATATTAAGAAAACAAAAATAAACCTACTGATATAAACATGTGTCATCAAAGTACTCCCATCAGGGTATGAAGGGCTTCTTAAGTTCCAAAATACGTGGTCAGGCACAGGAAATATAACGTTATGCAAAAAACTATATTTTTTTTATCTCAAAAGCCTTAGTTCGGTCCTTTTTTTTTTCTCGAGCATTTAGTATAAGAGTATTACAATATGTTTACTAAGATTCTACGAAAGAAACCGGTGCGAGTGAGTTGTGTCTGGTTTTTAGTTCGCACGAACATTTCGTCAAATCGTTTCCTAGCACGGAGTAGCGAACTGGCAATATTCAGTATGGTCAACCTATATCTTAATAACGATTTTCGTCTCTCATAAGTTGCTGATGCGTAGCTAGTTGTCAGTCACCATTCAAACATATCCGCGATGTTAACAGTGCGTATGTGTCCGGGGGGGCGTTTGAACGAACAGAATCGAACTTACAATAATCAGACCTAAATGCGCAATACAGAAGCCGCTGCCATATCAAATGATGGGTGTCTCTTGACGTTAGATGGACACCCATCAATAGTCTGTACGAATACTCTCTCGAATCGAATAGCGCAGCGCAATCCCTAGCTTCAATACTGCAAAGAGATTCATTACGTTGCGAGTTTCCTTAGTACTGTGAAGGTTATGAATGACGCAGCAGTGCTATTTATTCAATTCAAACCACTGTTCGCCCCCCCCCCCCCCCTAATCATAAGTGAAGTTAGGAGCGCAGCGTCCTATCTAGCTCTCAGCAAGCACCCAATCTCTAACATCATCAAGTGAACTGTAGAAACAAAAGAAGAAATGCGACTGAACGACACCACGAGCCCTTCAAGCTGCGGTTAGTAACGCAGGTAAGACAAACCGAGCTACGACATCAACTCACCTGACAAAGGGCACGTAAGGTGTGACATCACCACGCAGCATCGCCCAGACGAAGGTCAGAAGGCAACTCCCGGACAACATGACGCCGAAGGAGAGAGGTATCCATCCCACGCCGACGTGCCTCATGGCAGCTGGTCTGTAGCACGCCCGACCAACGTGCCCAGACGACGAGTCCTCGGACTGTCCTTGCAGTCCTCTCAATAGACAGCCTCAACAGCTCCAATCTCTCATACGGTCACGCGACGCTCTACTTTCCGCCCTTAGAAACACGGGGAGTGTGTTGTCTTCCGTGGGGAAAGCAACGGGCGCGAAAAGCGGAGTCTACGGTGTCGGCTCAATTCACCCGTCGAAACAAGCTGAACGATACTCTCGAAGGCAGTATGGTGCAACAAACACGAAATCAATAGGCAAGCGTAGAAGGTCGAACGTATTGGTCGGACGGCCGATGTCGAAGGATGAGAGAAGAGATAAGCCTGATAGGAAGGACCGCCCCATACAAAACGGCAAGATAAAAACTGTCCGGAGATGGCTCCAGTGATAGACGCGGAGATATGTCGATGACGCCGTACCGCATCGATGACAGCTTTGACGTTGCCGATTGCCAACCACAGTGAATACGCTCATCTCCAGGTGCACGCGAAAACTGCTGCCCCTCAAGTACGGCAGCATGAATTATCCCGTTTGCGAAATATAGAAAAGGCTTTCGTGGTCCAGCATTAGAGCTTAACAAAGCTGCAAAACAAAAGTTACGCTCTGTACGTTTTTGTAGTATGAAGTCTAACGATACTTGGCGCGATGAATTCGGCGGCCGTGATTAGGCGGTGCAGTGCTTGACCTTAGCAACGTCCAATCACGGCGGTCGAGTTCCTCGACAACTTTTTCGTCAAGTGTCCAGATTTAAGACATGGTACTGCGAATATAACTCCGCACATTAAACTGCTGGCAAGTTCCGAACTCTCTATTGTTGTCGACAAACTTCGGTTAGTTTGTTTTATGTATATAAGTGCGACGCGAGAAATCAATCCATTTTAAATACAAAACCGCAAAGAACAAGGATAGAAGAAAGATACGAGCAGGACAAGCGCTCGTCCTGTTAGTGTCTTGTTCTGTGCTTGTCCTTTGCGCTTTTGTATTTAAGAACTTTACCCTACTATCGTAACAGTTATTTTTTTTTAATCAGTCCATTCTGAAATGACGTCATTTGTTTCCGCCGTATTGCTCTAAAGGGCCAGATTGGGCTATTCATAGCCAAACTGGGCTACTTCTTGATGATGATGAAATTAATGGAAAGGTGCAAGCGAGCTGGACAAGAATAACAATAATCCCTGGACAAGGTTAACAAAGGAGGCAAAGGACAAACAAAAATCTCCAAACGCAGTTAGGTAACTGGTGTGCGACTGAAAAAGTCCGCCTGGTCCTGGTATCGAACCAGGGACCTACCTCTCCGTTTGCTCTACTGACGCCTAACTCCTGGTTAGCTCTGTTGGTAGAGCACTCCACTGGAAATGGGGAGGTCCCTGGTTCGATACCACAGGACCAGGCGAATTTTCTCAGTCATGCACCAGTCACCTAGCTGTGTTTGGAGAATTGTGTTGTCCTTTGTTCCCCTTCTCCAGGGAGTATTATCGCTGGCGTCGAAATTCGGGGGTTGGTTATGTGGCTACTTTTGGGCTACTTCTAATTCTTGCTTGGCTGCGGCGGGAAAGAAGCAATATCACTTGTCAACTCCTCAGGTTAGCGGTCCCAAGTTCGCAGGTCAGCAGTCATTTGAAACTAGCCGATTTGACTCGATTCGGCTAGTCTCACATAACTGCTAACCTGTGGTCACTTCACGTGCATCCTGGAGTTGCGAATATACACAAACGCAAACCGACGTAACGCACGGTCAATTAAACCGGCTAATTCAATGCGCATGCGCCTGTTGGTGCAGCTTCGAACCCTTCGAAACGGAAACTAGGGGACGGAGAAATTCCACCTCCGCCATACCATTTCAACCGAATGTCCAAGATAAAGAGTTCGAAATTAAAATCATTGCCGCGGTACACCCGATGTTGGTTCTCTTTAGTCTGTGTTATCATTAGGACGGTAATCCTTCCATTGCCTTTCATTCCCGCCTGATCACGGGCAGTCGCTGTTACTTGGTATCGAACAACGTAGCATCGAATATCTTCTAGCACATGAAGCCTGCAGCTTTTCGCAAGAGGGATACAGTTACGAAATTCCCCACGCTCTAAAAAAAATTTTTAAAAATCTGTACTTGAAAGGTTTTTTGATGCCCCAAGAACACTTTCAGCTCGTGAAGAACGGTTTTATCTCAAGCACTATCACTCCCTGGAGCTCAAAGGCAGCTGGGCGACGAAGAGCTAATGGGTTTTTCACGAAGAAACGTGTTACGGGGTGCTTAAAATAACTTTTTAGGGTTCAAATATGGACAAGCCGAAGAACACTTAAAAGTCATTTTACAACCAATTCTTCTTTCTTTTTTTTTTTTTTTGGAGTGTGCAGGAACGGTTAATAAAGATGCTCTAGAGTTAGAAACGAAGCATTGTAGGTAGACAATAAACTGGTAAAGAAGGGTCCTCTGTGTCTCCTACAGCCACTGAAGTCTTCAGAAATGCAGAGCGTTGTTTATTGTGCTCATGCTTCTTGCTTAGTCATTCGTTCTTTAGCATTCGTGTCACCTATTACCGCAACCTTATCAGCTTCGGAGCAATAGCAAGAGGCTCCGACGCCGCCACGCAATACGTTGCTTAAGCTCTCAGTGACTATGTAAGACAAGTCCAATAACCACCTCCTGCGCGCTAGCCGCCATCTTTGTCTACATGGTTCTGGAACGCGTTCTGAACATGCGCAGTACTTTGAATAATCAGAGCCTGTGAACAATCTCCTTTACATCCATGGAACCTCGTCACCCTACAATGGCGCCAACTCAGCGACTGGGACCAAGCCCGATGCCGAGCGACCTCCGACGCATTGATTGGACACGAGGCCGACCCGAACGCTGACGCGGCGCTCGTGACCAATCCGCGTCTGTGCTTGATCTCACTGCGATGACGTCAAAGTTCTTGTGCACAGGTGGTGTCGCCACGGCCCAATGACTCGGGTCTTTTTCTCCTTAGGGATACTTGAGTGCTGGAAAGGTGTGTAACGCAAAGTCGTCTGCCAGTTTGTTTCTTCTCGAGTTTCTTTCCAAACCGTGCTTCCGATACCTTCGCGCATCGACCGGCAGATGCATCTGCGTGCTTAACGCAACCGGTGCGAACAGGCCCTTCGCTGGTCAAACTCTCAATATCAGTCGGTTGAACACTCAAGGTCTTGTTGTCTTCCTTTTGTTTCAGGTCTTAAGCTCGGCCGAGCGTTCTGCAATCGGCAATATCGATGATATCAGCTGAAGCTGTCTCGGTGTCTAAAAACTACTTGGTTTAGACGTCGCCAGACGCAGCGCTTTCCGCTGCCCTCTGAAAGAATATATACAGGGCTATTCAAAAAGAAGGAGCAGATTTCATTCTTTTTGTTTCAAGCAAAGTGCAGAAAACAGAAACATGTTCCCCATATCACTGGATAGGAAAGGTTTCAAGGTCAGAGTTTTATTGTCCCTGAGGTCTTTTCCACGCAACATGTGCACGCTTTTCGCTGCCCTCTTAAAAGATATATACGGAGCTCTTCAAAAAGAAGGAGCAGGTCTCAATTTCTTCTATTCGAAACAAACTGCATAAAACAGGAACACGTTCCGCACATCACAGGAAGGTTCAACGGTTAGAGTTCTACGGCCCCTGATGTCTTTTGTACGCAACATCAGCACCATATGTTGCGCGACAATCATTAAAGCGGTAGCCCATTTCTTGCCACACACGAATCAATGGGTTCCTACAGTTGTGATCGGTTAAGAGCAAAGTGGAAGCTACCTCTTTCTACTTTAGCAGAGAGAAATATGTAGAGGAGGTCTCCTAAAGTAGGAAGAAATGGAATCAGCTTCCTTTTAACCTGTCGCCGACTATAGTCAGTGGATTTACACAGCTTCAAGAATTTGGTGTTTCAGATCTTGAAGAGCATAGGTGGGACGAATTGGGAGCCTTCCTCTGTCCAGTGAAATGCGGAATGAGTTCCTCTCTTCAACAGTTTGTTTGAAAGAAAACTATTAATCTGCTTCTTTCTGAATATGTGTGTATATTCGCTCAGCCAGGAACTGAGCAAGTGTGAAGTCGTTATTGCAGTAGATGCTTTGAACTTCAACTTTATTACAACAAATTTTTGCCGAGGAGACAGGTTTTGGATTATCCTTTTTGTTCTGGCGTTTCGTTATCCACCGATCAAACAGAATCAGCAAAACTACGAGACAAGGACAAGTAAAATAACGTCTTGTCTATTATTTCATTTCCCCTTATCTTAGGGTTTAGCTTCCAATATTTTCTAACCAGCTCGCCTGCATACTGCCGTTCCTTGAGGATCAGCTACTTTAATTAACATCCCCAGTTATCTAACGCAGTATTTTTTGTCAGTAGGCATGTCATTCTGTCCTTTTGAAGACGAAGCCAAAAATTCTTGTGACTTAGATGTGCGTTATGACCATGTCCGTAAACAATGTTTGTTGTTTGTTTTTGAAATTGGATGAGGCCCCTCGTGGTCTTTCACGAAATATATGGCATATGGCGTGGGTATTTTCCCCGTCCGTACCCTCTACCATAAGCTGCGGCGTAAACTTGTGCTACTTCCCCAAGTTCGTAGCACCAAAACATTTCCTCTTTGTTTATACCAATTTCTAGTTCTTAGTATATGCTCACTTATTTTGTAGAATAGATACACTTAACGAGGCAAACTTTAATAAAAAATAAAAAATAAAATACGCACAATTATAGTTGCAAATGTGATAAGTATTTGTGCACGCTTTACTTTCTTAATTGAATAATTGACCAACCAACGCCGAGGACTATCTTGTATGTACACGGCCTACGTTCATTGTAAATATATAGGAAGAAATTTTGGAGAAGTACGACACTTCACAACAATACATACCTCTCGATCGCCAGCAAATTGAAAACGAACCCCAGCTCCCGCAACGAAAGGTACCATGCGAAATTAGCCTGAAATATTATAAACATTTAAATGATATTTTATAATATATTATGATATTATATGACGTAATAAGATATCTATTGCGTTTAAAGAGTGCGTAGAGACGTACAGGCAGGGTGTGTCTGAACTGTGAGAAGGCAAGTGCCCACGCATCGAGTGTGCTCACAACTCACAACCCCAAACTGTACGTCTGATTCGAGCACCTTTTTCTACGCTTGTACAACATACAGACAGTCTTGGTGAATACATTTGACACAATTTAATAACGCATTATTCATTTAAAATATTCAAATCGCGGGTACACGCGTTAAAGTTAACACAGACTAAATAAGCAGCCGCCCACTTGGTTGCCTGAGGGATTCAGAATGGAATAAATATCGATTATGAAAACGTTTGTGTCGCAAAAATAAAGGATTTATAGCAGTATTCATAATTATGGCATATGCAAGGCTGTCTGTCTGTGACAGGCTCGAAGCTCACAAGTTCAGTCTCTGCCATCTTGCAGTAATCTTTCGGAAATGGACAAGTCGTCTTGCGTTATGAAAAGAAAAAAGAAAAAGACAGAATTCTGTTTGTACGCTTTATATATCAAAGATTCATAGCGGGAGCATTCACCGGGCACATGTTTTATTAGACATCGTTGATAATTATTTCCAACAGCACACTTTAAAAAAAGAAAACTGAGTTCAGACACAACTGCCCAATTATGGGATCAGCGCAAGAATAAAAAAAAAAAGAAAACTAAAAAAAGCTTTAGAGCATCACGGAGAACAAAAGACAGTATACAAGAAGTTTATTTAACCCGACGCAGTGCACATTTTCAATACTCGTATCCCAGTGAGTGTCTATGATATAAAGAAATAAGTTAGTCTAATACCTAAAGATTGTCACATGCAGTAGCTCTACGAGGATATTCGATGTAAATCTAGTATTTCGGTACCCCAAGCTTGAGAGCCAATTGCATGACAAAAATAATTCTCATATTTTTTCCTTTCTTTTTTTTTTTTTTGAGGCATGGCAGGCAGTGCGGATCTTTAGTCACAAGAACTTCAAGCGTTTCGCAATTCCTACAATGTTACGCGAAATCCTCGATCCGTTTATCGACCTCATAAGAGTGAATTAAGACCAGCCATTTGGCAGACGACACAACTCTTTCTAAGGTGAGACATTAGTAATGACGTGAAATTATAATGTGTATAAAACGTGAAAATCGCTTGTCTGTCCGCGCAAATGTCCCACTTTGTTCGCTGTACCACGTAAACGGTAGGCCATTCCGCAGAGCCGGCGACATATTGCACAGGTTCCAAAAGGTCGGCACGAAAGGTGAGGGTGTTAGAATAACATGGAAGACCGCGTTCCTCCGCACTAGAATGTGCTCGGAGACGGCGTGGAGTTCCCCTTTTTCTATTATTTTTCCTTTACTTTTCTGTTTTAGGGGCGTTTACGTCAAGTATTCAGTTCGTTAGCGCGCTTGCTCTTCTTTCAGCTAGCGTACCTGCGATTTTCTATTTCTTTCGCGCATCGTTCGGTCTTTCTTGGCTTGAAAAACTTTTGTCAGTGTTATAAACGACCACTTCTCATAGTAGTACGTACATTTGACCCTGCAAAACGTTCGCTCGCTCTGCTGAAATGTTGTTCCAGGGTCACCGCATAGATGTCACCAGCGAGCCAGCATGTTGTCTCGTCGTAAGAGATTTTAAAATACCTTTAAAGTACGAGGCGACAACCGTTCGGGAGACAGTTAACGAGGTCCGACATTGTGTTTGTGGTCGATGTCGTGAGAGGAGCCCCACAAGGACTCGCTGCTGACCGCCGCTACACTCTTCGCCGTTTGGATCGTCATCGCGTCTATTCCGTTTCTGTTCCCGTGGTCCCACTGCCAGGCGATCACAGGGAAGAAGAGTAGCTGAGCAGCGGTTTGGCCTCCTCAAATCTGAGCCTGGTGACCTCGATGCGTTCGTCCATGTGGTGAACGAGCGGGAACACGTCGACGGTGAGCGCTACGCGCCTGAACTCGAAAGAGAAGGTGAAGAAGAACGCCAAGAAGCAGCCCACGAGCAGCCATTCACCCAGCGAGCTCAGCGTCAGCTCACGGAAGCCCTGCGGGGACAAAGAGGAGTAAGATGATGACAACAACAACATACCCTGGACAATCCCTTGGGCCCGGATGGGCGCGCGAGAATTTTCTAGAATCTATTATGGACACTGATAAGATGAGAACGGTAGCGAGGTCCTTGAGTTACTCCGGCTCCAGGTGCGCGCGTACACAGCATGGCGAACGCTGCGACGCTAGCGACCAGATATAGTCCTTCAGGCGCGCGCCCGAGTAGCCTCAGCCGACAGCGTCTCCGCCGTTCAGAGGGCGCAACTGAGACCAAAAAGAAAAAGAAACAAACAGAACCGAAAAAAGTGGCTCGTTCCCATGACACCCGGGCACGCGCACTTTCCGGTCGGAGCGTCTGCTCTGACCTTGACGGACGCTGGCTTGAACACCGCGCCAGAGATTTCTCCGCTTCAACACGTTCATAGAACTGTTATTCTCGCCCTTGAGGCACCAAATCAGGGTCAATAGGGACTTTTAGTAAACACTTACCGTGTTCCGCGTACCGAACTACCGGAGCCTTTGAAGCATGCTTTTAAGCGCACGCCCGGGTGATGCGGTAATGCGGTTCGCGGAACACGGCAACGGTTCACTAGAAGTCCATATTGACGACGCAGCGTCCATACACCATTTTGGCTAGTTGGGCGCAGTACTGCGGAAACGACAAGCGAGAGAGAGGGGAGAGCCTTTATGGTACGAATTTTGAGTGATAGGGTAATATCGGACGGAGAGCAAAGCGGCGTGCGGCTCACAGAAGAGGGTGCCGGTAAGAGGGGATTGCCTTCTTCCAGGGGATTGCCTTCTTCCCCTGTTGTGCAACAGCACCGGTTACGCTCTCGCCCCTGTACCTTTGGCAATGCTGCGCGCAGCTAGTGAAAGAGAGTATAAGCGACACGCGTGGCGCAAGTGCCAAGTACTACACGCCATAGCGCACCCGGAAACCGACTTTGAAAACAAGCATGTCACCCATAGAGGACCACGGAAAACTGGACCCGCGACAGAGTGCCACTAGCCGCATATCAAGGTGCCATCTGGTGGCGCCGCTCGCAACCAAGGCGCGGAGAGGACTATATCTGGCAGCTGCGACGCGCGCGGTGTCCACACACGTGTATATATGACTGTATTGTGACATTATAATTACGTACGGGGTCGCCAGGGACGCGCAAGTGCTTCGGATGTTCCGCCTCTTCAGTGCTCCACAATGCTTCTCCAATATACTGTAAACAAGCGGCTGGATTTACCCGGTTAAGTCATGCACATTTCCACGAACTGTGAACGCCACAATGCTGCCGGTTAATGACTTGTCAAACGCTGATTAGGCACGTTAGTTAACCGCCCGTTATCCTTCCCAAATTATCACTTGCAAAAGTAAAGAAAAAACTACCCGCACGGAGGTACTTTGAGGTACGGCGACACCGGTTTACGCTGTAGATGAGAACTTTAGCCAGTAAAATAAGACTCCTACCTCTTTAAAGCTTTTAACGCGCACCACGCAGTGGTACACGACCGGTCGCCGGTAGAATGCTCATACAGATCAAAACGAGCAGGGGTGGGGTTTCAAATTCCATGGGAACAGCGTAGACACGAGCTTCCATTTGCTCAGCGTTTCTGAAAGATGAGAGCTGTTGGACGATCGTCTCCTGCTCATGCAGTAGGCGAGGACCTACTCCAACAGCACATATGGTACCACATATTTCTTTAGAACGTTGTAATATCCCATCAGTGTATACCTGGCACGTCCAAAGGGTAAACCAGTGTCGTCTGGGTAGGGATGGCTAGAAAGGCTTATAGCCTGGGATGTGGCTTCCACCGCATCAGCTATCGCACGGGAACAGCGCGTTCCAAGGCTCAAGCCTCGCTCCTGTATCCTTCAAAAAGGTGTTACATTGTTTACGGGTCTTCTGGGCCGGTTTGCTCATCTTGCGGCTGCGGACGCGGCCGCGGCCAGGGGGGATTTTTACGTCACGTGACCAGCTCCATGGGGACAAGGAAGTACCTAGCGTCCCTGCCTAATGGCGGAGAGATCCACATCGCTTCAAGCACAAAAGCCTAATTTCGCTCGCAGAAACTGATTGCAGGGACTTTCAACTGGAGTCTAATTGACCGCCCCTTTATACTGTAGGAGCGGCAGGTAAAGTTACGGCCAGGGAGGGTAAATATGTGCCATAATAAAGAGAAAACCACACGAGATAAAAGCGGTAGCAGTATCTTTATATACCTCCACCGGCGCCGCGTCTCGCGCCTTCTGCTGTAGTTGAGAGGTTAAAGCGCCGGTACTTGTCGTCGCGGCGTGAAAGTTCCGAGTTCAAATCGCGCTAGGAACATCTTTTTTTTTTGTTTTTTTTTTTGTATTTTGCGCGTGTCGTACTTTTTAACTGTGATACTTTTTTGGAAATCATCCACTTGCACTACTGCGCCTTACACGCTTTTACTGTTAGTCCCACCTGTTCAATCGAAACACCGGGAAGAAGAAAAAAAAGATCAACACAAGTTAACGCGCTAATACAATCATTTCATAATGTTCATTAAAAGGAAACCAAGCTAACAGCATCACTATGGCTTTCACACAAGCGGAGCCGAAACAAGCATCCTTTCCCCAGTATTACAATTTTATCTGTTTTTAAATAACGCTCTTGCTACGATTCGTTTCAATGACAAGGGACGCCTATTTAGGACTAATAAAAACTGCACTTGTAGCCATTAAAAAAAAAATCCAAAAAACAAGCAAAAAAAAAAAAAGACTAGCAGCTGTGGATACATTGATTGAGCGAAATCCTACAGGCAAGGCAGCAGGTCAAGCGTCTGAGAAAAGAGTAAAACCAAAATAAAAGAGATCATACTTTTACTTGCATGGAATGAGATGAAAGGTATATTTATACTCTTTACATTTTGTTGTGGCAATCGTTTTGTAATATTAACACATTACTCGTTGAATTTTAGTTAGAATAGCAGACAATCACGACCAAATGCAAAAATTAATCAGGCGTCGAAAATCGCAAACCCTCTCTCTCATGCAAACACCTAAAATGACTTTGTATCAACAAATGGAATTAATTATAATTAATTCCATTTCTTGATCCAAAGTCATTTTAGTTGTTTGCATTAGAGAGAGGGTTTGCGATGGTCGACGCCTGATTCATTTTTGCATTTGGTCGTGATCGTCTGCTATTCTAACTAAAATTCAACAAGTAATGTGTTAATATTACAAAACGATTGCCACAACAAAATGTAAAGAGTATAAATATACCTTTTATCTCATTCCATGCAAGCAAAAGTATGATCTCTTTTATTTTGGTTTTACTACTTTCTCAGACGCTTGACCTGCTGCCTTGCCTGTAGGATTTCGCTCAATCAATGTAGCCACAGCTGCTAGTCTTTTTTTTTTTTTTGCTTGTTTTTTGAATTTTTTTTTAATTGCTACAACTGTAGTTTTTATTAGTCCTAAATAGGCGTTTTTTGTCATTGAAACGAATCGTAGCAAGAGCGTTATTTGAAAACAGATAAAATTGTAAATGCTGGGGAAAGGATGCTTGTTTCGGCTCCGCTTGTGTGAAAGCCATAGTGATGCTGTTAGCTTGGTTTCCTTTTAATGAACATTATGAAATGATTGTATTAGCGCGTTAACTTGCGTTGATCTTTTTTTTCTTCTTCCCGGTGTTTCGATTGAACAGGTGGGACTAACAGTAAAAGCGTGTAAGGCGCAGTAGTGCAAGTGGATGATTTCCAAAAAAAGTATCACAGTTAAAAAGTAAGACACGCGCAAAATACAAAAAAAAAAAAAATGTTTCTAGCGCGATTTGAACTCGGAACTTTCACGCCGCGACGACAAGTACCGGCGCTTTAACCTCTCGACCACAGCAGAAGGCGCGTGGCGCGGCGCCGGCGGAGGTATATAAAGATACTGCTACCGCTTTTATCTCGTGTGGTTTTCTCTTTATTATGGCACATATTTACCCTCCCTGGCCGTAACTTTACCTGCCGCTCCTACAGTATAAAGGGGCGGTCAATTAGACTCCAGTTGAAAGTCCCTGCAATCAGTTTCTGCGAGCGAAATTAGGCTTTTGTGCTTGAAGCGATGTGGATCTCTCCGCCATTAGGCAGGGACGCTAGGTACTTCCTTGTCCCCATGGAGCTGGTCACGTGACGTAAAAATCCCCCCTGGCCGCGGCCGCGTCCGCAGCCGCAAGATGAGCAAACCGGCCCTGGCGTAAAATCAATCGGGTTCATACAACCAATAAAAGGATACTGAAGATCACGGCGAAGACGGCCAAGACGCAAAGGAATAGCCTGAGCCACACCATGGCTTTGCTGTAGTGGTCAGGGCAGAGACAACACGTCAGCCCCGTCTGGAGGATCATGTACACCACGGCGTTAAAGAACATGGCGTAAGCACCGACGTTGTGGATGGTCTTGGTCGTCAGGACCTGAAATGAAGACTGCACGTCACGAGCTTCTACTACCTTGCTACTCGCCACTATGCTCGTATAGTGAGTGATAGTTCAAGAACCGTAGTAAGAAAAAAAAAAAAAAAGATCGTTGTCTCGCGGAACGTTACACATTTCCTTTTGCCTGCGTTGAATTAAGATGCATTAGGTGCCTCTTAGATTAGCGTCATGTTATTTTATCGAGACGTACATGTTCCGAAAGTCAAACTCACCCATTCTTCCTTCTACAACCAAATCTTGTAGGCACTACTTCGCGCAGCGCATAAAGACTACGCAAAACGTCCTTTTTTTTTTTTTTTTATCTGACAACGAGCATATAGAGACACAAACCCAGCTACGCTCAGAGTGTCAGCACTCTAAACCCAGATCTTCTTGTGGGCGCCGCCATCTTGGTTCTTAGTGCAGCGCGAGCGCGATCGGCAGTCGTGGCGATTCGAAAATGTGACGTCCTTAGCAGCTTGAGATGCACGATGAAGCTCAGGCGATATACGTTTTGCCCTGTCGCGGACTGCACTCGCTTTTCTGGGGGACGGAAAACTCTTTCCCGCGATGTCATGCAAGGCAAATACTTTGTGCAAGGCTTAAAGGCCAACGAGCGACCACAAAGAAGGAAACTCTCCCTGAATTCCTCCTTTCCATTTTGAGAAAGAGGGAGACCATTCTCCTTTCTGCGGGGAGTCAGGGGAGTAGCAAAGTAGCTTGGAGGCCAGTTCTTGTGGGAAGAGGGAGAGAAGTGATAACCGGGCAGGTTAACTATCTCTCCACACCTTCCAGCGGCGTGGAGAGATCAAAGCGATGTTTTACCACATACCAGAAGTGATAACATTCAAGACGGCTGCGCGTTAAAAAGCGCATCTGTATATTTTCTTCTTTTTTTTTTTTCTGTTTGACCGATTGTCTGTGAGCACGCAACGATGTCATTTTTTTTCCTTCTTTTTTTTTTTTGTGGTCATATGTGTTTTTGACAAACGCCAAAGCAGAAATGAAAATAAATATTGTGGCACATGCCTTGCTCAAACTAAGCTGATTTAAATAAGAGATATCCGAATTGATTCATTCAAAGAAAGTATTTTTCCACCCTGATTACACAACCTTATAGAAAAAATGGCATGCCTTTTTAAAGAATCAATTAAATCAGATTTATTTTATATAAATCGAATTAATTTGATTCAAATCACTGTAACTATAAAACAGCGCTTCTTAATTACTAGAAGTATTTTTAAACGTGACAGATTGATTGATTGATCAATCCGTCCGATCACTGAAGACATCGTGGAAGAAAGAATTACCGTAAACAAATTACAGTTTAATTACCAACTTTTTATTGAGTAAACCCTGTCATAGTAGAACCCAAAAAAAACTTTATATTTTTAGTTAGTCAAACGTTTTTTTTTTTTTTTAATTATTTACAAGGTGGCATTACTCTCTCAAGTGTTATCTCCTTTCTTTCGCGTTCATCTTTACTTGCCTGTAGGGCGTTACGTTACTGACAAACAAAATTAATGGTAGAACGAAAGCTCCACACTCCGATATGCTCAGAAGACCACAGCATAGTGCTCGTGTTCACCTGATAGAAAACTTTTTTAGGGGCGAAGCTCCTTAGGGTCTAGCCTTGTCCGTCCGGCGTCCGTGCTTACATTGATCTTGCTGGTGCTCGTGCTTGTGCTCGTGCTCGTGAGCTCACGTACTCGTGTAAAGCAAACAAAAAAAAAATGATGAAAAAAAAATGTTTGCGCAGTCGACATGATTCGAACCCGTGCGGGGAGACCCCACTGGATTTCTATACTTCGTTTCAGCCTCCGTCCGAGCGCAGCCAAAGGCTGAGGGACGGTTCGCAACTTCGAGAAGAGCATTCCTACGCACCACAAAGTAGTTCACAAAAGTAATTTCTTTTAAAATAACTGTTTTGTGCGTAAAAACTGCACAATGTTCCAGATGTGTACTACTGCTGAGAATGATTTGCAACTAAAGGAATCAAATCTCTGAAGTTTATGTTTCTATTAATATATGGAAATGCATGTGGTTCGGTGAAAACATGTATATCTGCTGGCAACACGGCTGCAGAGCTCGGTTTTTCTGCGTGATTTCGTTCCCGTAATCGCCGAATCATGTGCTTCGCTGCCTTCCTCACCGAGTCACTTCAAAACGTCCTTTCGCAAAGGCACGTTTGGGCGTCAGGCGCGAGAAGTCGTGATGAATGTCCACTTTCAAATTCGGCAGGAAACTCCGGCCGCGTCGCACCGCAAATTCGTTGTAAACAAGCAAAGCGTCCGGGCCACAACAATTCAGTTACACGGCGAAATCAGGGCACCCCTTTACCTGCCGATCACATTGAACGCCGAGAAGCTGGTGGAAAGGACTGTGCCTTGAGGCCTGGTATATCCAAACAATACAAGGAAACATCAACGGCCGGGTCATCGGGGACCTTGCAACCTGTACTTACAACTCGAAACTATGCCGAACAGGTGGAAAGCTCGGACACAGATGCCAGCAGCCAGCCTACGTACTGACATCCCCTGTGACTAAGTTTCAGAACGTGAAAGGGCACTTTTTCAACCTGCAGCAGACGATATCGTTGATACACCCGAAGCAGACGAAATACTCGGCGAACGCGGGCGGCGCGGCCGACCGGCGGCGCAGCGGAGTGATACGAAAGTGCAGGCGAGATCGCGTGACCTATTGCCGGCGTGTGATTGGCTCCGGCTACATGTAGCTTTGGCTGCGCTCGGACGGAAGCTGAAACGAAGTATAGTCCATCGCCTTAACCACTCGGCCGCGACTGCGGGACGAGAAGGGGGCTCTGAGATGTGGTAGTAACTCAAGAGCTGGGGATGTCGTGGATGAAACGTTGCATGTAGCCGCTCAACGTCTATACAGGAGAGGGCGCTGCGGTCAAACACGTATATAATCGCGTTAAACTTTGTATGCATTGGCTCGACGTTTATAGACGAGAGGGCGCTGCAGTCAAATGCTCAAATGCGTATGTAACCACATTTCATACCACACATCCTCTTTCTGACATGGATGAAAACGAACGAAAGGCTCGGCATGCTGCGGCTCACCGTCTACGCAGACAAGCACCTCCAGAGCTTCGCCCCAATCAATATCATTCACCACGTGGAGATGCGGTCAATTATTTTTTGGCAAATTCTTGATTTCAATACAAAATAAATGCACATAGAAAGTATCAATAGACAGGCGAACGGAAAATAAAAATAAATGTTTTCGAAAATATTTTTGCGGAAAATGTTTGATTTAAATCGTCATAGCAAAAACCGGTCTGATTTAAATCATGATTTAAATTCCGATTTAAATCACCTTGATTTTTATTCTTCACCTTGTGTGAAACTAACTTGGAGAAACAACACGAAACAACACGAAACAACACGAATGATGAACTTCATTTCATATCAGGCGAACTAACGAGAAGACGTGATGGCAACACACACGCAACTCTGTGTCGGTGAACAGGAGGCGCCACTGGATAGATGAATAGATGGACAGATGCATGGCGGCCCTGTCTTTGAATCGGGCGGTAGCTTGCTCCATCTACCCAAATCAATCAAATATGACCCGAAGTTCCACACTAAGTTTTGTGCAAATAAATTCGAGCACAGTTACTGTCTAAACTTCCCTCGATTTTGACCTCCCCGACGCTAGAGCTGATTGGGCCAATCAGACAGCGTCAAAAGCACACAATCATTTTCGTCATGTTTCTGTACGTGTTCTATCATTGCCGAACCAATCATAAACAAAAAAGGCTCAGTGACCTGCGCTTTTTAGGCTGCTTGACTGGTCCCACTAGCCCGTAGCGTCGGCTGCGTCTGGATCGACTTAAACTGTTAAACACCGGCAACCAGTTCGCGCTTTCCACTTTTCTCTCCCTTCCTCCTCTCCTCCCTTCTACCCTGCCCACCTCGCCGCTTCCCTCCTCCCCCATAGTGAGGAGGATTTTTTGCCTTGTAGAATCTCAAGTCTGGTTGTCGGCCTTTACGCTGAAACGAAGTATAGTCAGTGGTGAGGAGGATTTTTTGCCTTGTAGAATCTCAAGTCTGGTTGTCGGCCTTTACGCTGAAACGAAGTCAGCGCGGGCGGTGGCCAGAAAAGGGCTACTTTGAAAAGTACTTGCTACCTCGTGATTGGACACGAGCGCTGCGTCACGGTTTGGAAGATCCTCGGGACAGCCGAGTTTTCCCGAGCTCGAGATCGGGTTCAATGAAGGCGACCATAATGTGTTTCAGGGTTGCGAAGGTTCCATCTCAGATTGCGCTGTCCGCCCAACAAACCTTCCTCGCATGGCCTCCAAATGACAGCAAAGAACATGTTGTCATTTGGGGGCCATGCAGATGCTGTTATTTGAGGACCATGCATATGATGTCCTTCCCCGCGTCTGCTTTGGAAAGACATTGCAAACAATTAGTTTTTTTTTTTTTAAATGAAATAATTTTAGAAAGAAGTCAGCTCCTTATTTTGACTGTGCGTCACCTGCCTCGCCTCTCTCACAGTGTGCGGTGTCATATTATGATTGTTATTAAAGAATTAAAAACATTCATTCACTTTCTATGTCGAATGTAGATTGGCCAGAGGATCGTGGACAGCCCTGCTTAGGAATTCACATTTTATGATTTAAAGCCGAGCAACCTCAAGCCTGCCCCTTACTCACTACCAAAAAGCGTCCAAAATTTGACAAGAAACACTACCGCCGTAATGATTACAACAACAAGTACGAGTCAGTGCAGAAACCGAAGAAAATGTGTTAATCATTAGAAGAAAATGTGTTAATCAATAATCAATCATGGAGTAAAAAAAAAAAAAAAGCGGAAGCACGAAGTTGTTTACCTAACCCCTTTCCCAAACCCTCGACGTTTAAGACAATTCTAGAAAGCAATGTGCGGGCACCGAGAGAGAACTCCCCCCCCCCCGTATCTCCGGAACACTTCCGACGCCCCTGAAGTTAATCCGTACAAAGATCTCGTTGATAATAAATTTTACATTTCACTTACCGGAAATGAAGCGACGATCAGATTGCCGAGCACGGCGAGAAGTCCCACAACGAGGGACACCGCGTTGAGAACCCGGATCAGCTCCCTGCATTCCCGGTTCAGGTCGCGAATCACCACGAATCTGAGGACCATCGTGATGCATCCTGACAACAATGATTAGAATCGTCAGGTGGGATTTTAAGAGGCTGTTACAACGTACCCTATACTCACTACTCAACAAGTCAGACCTATGTTCTTTTTTACTAGATTCACCCGATTTGCCTAAAATTTTAAGCGTACTAAATGACAGCAATACAATGAAATTTATACATCTATATTATACTAATACCCGGCAAGCAGGAAACCCTTGGGCATGGTACCGTAACGCAGTGAACTGCGTACGTGTGTATTGTTTTTGTCGTTGTTTTTTTAACCATAGTTGCATGTAACATGCTACGTATAAACGTTTCTTTAGACCGTTTTTCTGACACTTTAAGTGTGCACGATTTATATATTCGTAAGATGAAACGACATGTCTGATTAGTTGGTTTTGATGGAGTATAAAAGAAGGTCGGATTTCGAATGTAATGCCAGTCGTTGTGTAACGTTGCTGAAGTTTAAGGACAAATTAGAAGCAATTTTTTCCTTAAATAAGAGAATGTCATCGCTTTTTGGAAGCAGGTGGCTGGCTGGCGTTTTTGTTTTGTTAAACATATTTTTGTCTTGTTTTGTTTTGTAGTTCGTTTGTTCAAGCAACGTTACATTTGGATAGATTCCGAGCTTCCCACAACCCGTAGTTTATTTATATTTTAGGGGCTTCATTTTTCATTTTGATACATTAATGGCAGAAGCAAGAAACAAAATCTGTATTCCAGCTTGACGGAGACTCTTGTTCCTTAGTAATTTCATAAGCCCATATTACATCAAAATACGCACAGCAACAGCGTAGAAACTCAACATAGAGCATAATGCAAAATAAACTGCTTTTCTACTCATTAATTTATTATTTTCTGTCTGACTCCTTAGGCAAATCTTTCAGAATAGCGATTGAAACAATGTCAATGTTATTGTTTAGGAGAGCATTTGGAGCAGCGAAACGTACGGTTCCCTCTTCATGGAAGAACGTGAAGTTGTTGAACTAAAGAAAACACGAATCAACCGGCGGGACGGGTCATCTCGTCACCATGATAATAAGGATAAGCAAGCTCAAACGCATGGGTGACGTAGTTTCAAAAATATTTTACGCGCTTTTAAAAGAAAACAAGGTATGCGCACCCCATACTGACGCAACGAAGAGAAGGAGACTGAACAGTCCACTCTGCGGCGGAGATGCACCGGCCTCGCTGAAACACAAACAAATACAACGTCAAACTTTGCGGGCAAACCTTTTGTAACTTGATGTACAGCCGCAAGCGGAGCTATAATTACACATCCTCGAAGCTTCTTCTGCATGTTTGTATGTGTGCTATTTCTTTTTTTTTTTTTTATTTATTTATTTATTTACGTTGTCAAGCCGACAGGTATCGCTCACCGTCTTAATCGATTTAATGCTGACGGAAGCAGCGTCCTTAGCGTATCCCATCATGCACGGTTCACAGGCGTAAACCAGCGTCTGTCAGCGTCCTTCAACGCTTGTCCAGAATGCTAACAGACGGTTTAAAAGGACGCAGCGCGACTCACGACAGAAACGCTACCTAAAACTATCTGATTTCGCTCAAAAGGGGCGCTCCTGAAAAACTTGATATATCTACAGGTCTACAGATCTTTCTCGAAATTACCAAAAAAACACCGAGGAGAATTCTGGGAACGCAGATACACGCGCTACACGCGTCAGTCTTGTCAGTGTAACGAGTGCCCTTTGTTTAAAGTTTTTTTTTTTTTTTTAGAACAGTTATACTGCTACAGAAGCCAGCATGTTGCATAGCGTGTAACACTCGTAGCATGTTCCTTAATGTTGCTTGGGTAATTTAGCGAAAGGTTTATACATCGCCCCTATATTTTTTTCCTACCTCTCGTGTTAACTGCACTGAAAAAAAAAAAAACACAATCTATTGGCGTTTCGCCGTTGCCATTGTCCTCTTAGTCAGGATCCGTTTCGGCACTTGTGATCTCCGTATAGATTCATTTTGACAACAGAGCAGTACCCACCGCAACTCACCTGATGTATGGAGCGTAAATGGTCACAGCTCCGGTGAGTGCAGCCCACGCGTACGACAAAAGCGCTGCCGCAATCAGGCAGATTCCGACCAAAGACGGTATCCAACCGATGCCCATGCACACGAGCGTCGTCATTTCGGAAGCATCCGCCGTGGAGCTAAGCCTAACAGACGCTGAACGCTCTTGCGCAGGCGGTCTGTAGACCGCGTCGTACGGTCGTACAGAGTGACAATTGATAGGAAAAGCGACATGCCGTTATCGGCACCGGGCAACGGAGAGACCCAATCGGAGAGATAACCGAGGAAGCGAGAGAAAGAAATATCCTCCGCTACGAGTTCCCTCGGTCCCGAAGCCGCAAGCTCGACCGAAATTATCGGCAGGTATCTCGTGGTAAGGCTAACCTGTTCGAAATGGAATCGTCGAGCAATGTTCTTATCACGGGGCGCGCAGGCGAAGTGGTTATTTTCTCGTGGTATAATTCTGGGGGACGGGGGCTTTTTAAACTATTTTCCACGTTAACTTTCGCACCTCCCTCCAATACGGCGAGCATGTATTGCTTAGTCAATTCGTATCTGCACCTATATTTTTAATATGTCTGCTTGAATAGAAGTTGTAGCAAAATATTACAACCCCAATGGACCTTTTCCGAGAAGCGCTCTGCGCATGCGCGAGCGCCCGATGCCAAGCGGCGGAAGTCGGCACGAAAAATCGAGGAAATTCGGAAGAAGGCTGTTTATCAGCGAGTCGAACACGTAATTGCAGCATGTATATAATTGTGTTACACAAAAAAAGATAGTGGACGGTAAGAAAAACACGACGTTTGGGTAGACGCCACGGATGCCACTCTTCAAAGTCGCTTTGGGCACGCGTCGCAGCTCAGAGAGCGAAGAAACTGGTAGCGTAGCTCCCATTATAGGTAGGTAGCGCAGGTAGGTCCTTCCTCGATTTTTAGTTCATGCAGCCACCGCCTGATGCCGTAGGTATGTGGAAAAGGTCCATTGTGTTTAACTTATGATCCCATTTGTTTTTGCGTGTTTTTAGATTTGCTATTTTTAAGGGTTTTTGTAATCATCCTGGAGGATGTTCTACAAAAATCTTTAGGGTTTGTTTGTAAAGAAATAACTAATTCGCAGTGGAAAATGAACGAGGATTAGTATAAGGCGATTTAAATTGAGACGAGGGGCAAAATTCAACAGTTTGTGTTTAGCGCAACATCTCCTAGACAAGCAATCGGAGTGCTTTCAAACTTGCTATAGAGGTGGCGTGATCTATACACTTTGTATGTGTAAAACTTAAGAGCTGCTGGCGAGAGTGTCCCAGAGAAAATAAATGCGAAGTTCAGGTATACGTCCCCCCCCCCCCCCCCCCCCCCACACACACACACGCACACAAAAACGAAACAAAATTCAGCGCGAGGTTTCGCTACGAGACGTGCACCCCGGTTGGCACCGACTATTCTGCCAAGGTAAGCTTTCATTTTATTGGTATGCTTTATTAGCTCCATGCTGACCAAATTTCAGCAATCTGTAATCGCGTTTGTTTCTTTTCTTTCCGAAATAATTGTTTACGTGACGAAATAAAGGCGGGACAAAATGAAATAATCCGGCATTCTATGACGCGCATGTCAATGACACACTAGTCTCCTCGTTGCTCCTGAATCATAGCTTTTCTTTCTTTTTCTCCCGGTGTCTAAAATGATCCGAACGTAAAAAAAAAACATACAAACACAGTCTTCACGAAACCAAAGTTACACCAACAAGGCACCTGAAAGTGGCAAGCAGCAGCGTCCCTCCCTACGCGCTGCTGCCACACTTTCTGCCGCACCATATATGATGCGCTTCAAATGCGAGTCAAACGGGTCGATGAATGTCAAGAACAGCGGCTCTACAAAAAACAATGGCTGGACTACAGAAGCCGCTTTCTTTCCGACGTTTTAAATTTTCAGAACATTTCTTCTGTACCAAGCAGGTCGAAGAGCAGCACTGTTCTAACGTCATCTCCCCAGAAGGCAAAGCTGATGTTGGAGAGAGCAAACAAAAGCCGGCGTTCCACTGCCTCCCCCCCCCCCCCCCCCCCCCCTTTCCCGGGCAAAAAGAAATAAAATAAAAAATACCCGCGAAACCGAAGAGAAAGATCATTTGCGATCCCCGAAGATACGCGCAGTGTCCGAGCGTTCTGCAGACCGTGCGATCTACACCACAAGAGACTGGCAGTGCCTGGTATGCAAAAAGCTTCGGAGCCAAGTAGCCCAATATTCAATATAGATCGGGTGCATGGCATGCAAGGATTGGGCTTATGAATAGCGCGTTGGAGCTCACATAGTGCGTTTGAAATGATTTTATTGCAAAAACTCAAAGGATATCAGGTTTTTTTTAAACGTGTCTCACTGTACCCCACTACGTTGTCTCATTTTGCCCTATAGGGCGGGGCAAAATGAGGCATTGTGTGACTTTCAGATATTGTAGGTTTGTGTAATGTTTCGCTGGCTCCAGTTAAGCAATATTTACTTAGCATAGAGTCAAGACGTCTAAAAATATCCCCGTGCTGTGTTTCTTTTCTTAATATTGGAGCAAAAATAAATATTACCATTGAAAATAATATTTTTCTCGTTTTGCCCTACCTTACCCTACCTCAAGTTACAGCGTGTTACCTTTCACTCATATGGTTTGTCGACGAAACATGAAGCTTTGGAATACAGTTCATGCAGTTCCATCACAAAGAAATAATTTAGTAAAATGACGTCAGGCAACATCTTGATGAAAGTACGAAGCTGAAAAAACCCATTTTAAAAACGGCCCAGCTGATCCCATGCTCTAGTCAAGGCCCTAGATTAAATATAAATTGATGTAAAAATGTAAAAACAAATAAATATTGTGTGATAGACTGCAACAGGGCATATCATTCGACAGGCAGACATTGCATTATTACCCATTAAAGCAAGCAGCAACATGCGGCATACAGTGATACGGTTCTGCATCTAGTATAACAATCGCCAAAATAACAAGAAAAAAATAAGCTAAGTCGGCTACATATACGCTGTTCTGCGTGTTTGTGCATTTGTGCGATCTCTTTTGCTTTTTTGCGAAGTTAAATTTCGATAGAAAACAATTGCAATGTGATGTTGGGCATTGCAAACTAATTGCTTCCCTGAAGAGGGGTCGAAAGATCGATAACATGCACAACAGTGTCAGCAGGGTAATACTTCCTTCGATACCTTCGAAAAGGGGGGAGGGGGGTTCTAAAAAGCTTTAATAGCGTTGAATGAAGAAAAAAAAAAGTTGATTTGATCACAGGAAGAATATGTACGGGTACTACTAACGAAATTACGATCAGTGCGCATGCGAGCTGGTGGAAGTTTACCATGATGATTTTAACCCGAAACTCGAGCAAAATTAGGAAATTCTTTGACAGTTTATTTATTTATTTATTTATTTATTTATTTATTTATTGTACCCTCAGGGCCCGAGGGCATTACAGAGGGGAGTGGGTTACAAAAGAAAAATCACTAAAGAACAAAATGACAACCTAAGAATAGAAATACCAACCAGTGTGTTGAACCGAAAAAAATACGGGTTCGGTTACGGTTCAGGTTCAGGTAAATTTATTTTGTTCCGGTTCAGTTCCGGTTCGATTAATTCGTCCGCGAACCGGTTCGCGAACCGGTTCGGAAATTTTAAATGACAAATTGCAACATCAAATTAAATTACAAATAAAACATCTGAAATCAGCACACACGAAACGGGATACATCGTAGTGTAAGGCTCAGGGAGTTCTACCAGGAATGGTTTCTTTATGTGCACTCAAAGGTTACCTCACCGACGTTTACGCATTCGGACTTCATAAGTTGGGTCCGACGCAATAGCTGTAAAATCCGCGACCTCCTTACAAACCCACTTTCAAGTAGAACTCGCTAACTATCCCGCCACTTCGGCGTGTAAGCAATTGAAGGAACAGTGGGGAGAAAATACAGCTTTCTTTATTTGAACTAGTCTTCGGTAACTCAAATTAGACCCTTAAAGAAGTTTTCATTAAACAAGATACGGAATATGAAAAACACTTCACCGAACGCAACGCCAGAAGGACGTAATAGGATAAATATTAAAATAGAAGAGTTCGCTGTCTCACAAATATGTTAGCTTCTAAATGCCTATACGAAACCGGATGCATTATTATCAAACTCCACAGCCTTTTCTTTTCTCATTCCGATGGAAGCAAGCTTCAAGAACTCGCGCGTTCTGGAAACGTGTTATGAAATGAGCACACAGCAGCAATTAGGATTTACGAGATTGTAAAAAAACAAAATCCCGCGACGCGATTTTTTTTTCTTTTTTTTTGCACAGCTTTTTAATTTTCTTTCTTCCGTGCAAGCCGCGACCAGCGCAATACTGGTTCCTATGTCAAGATTCATGGATGCAGCGTTTGTCAAGATTCATGAATGCAGCGTTTATATTCCTAAGACTGAGTGGAGAAGAAAAATATGTAAGCGAGGTGTGTGTCAGTTGACGGCACTTAAAAAACAAATGGCATATATAGCACATTCATTGTCAACAGCGCGTGGCCGAACCGTTTTGACATGAGCCGGTAACCGTTATTTTTTTTCTGGTTCAGTTCCGGTTCGGGTTCATCGCGATAACAATATAACGGTTCGGGTTCGGGTTCAGTTCCGGAAAAAATACCGGTTCGGTTCCGGTTTTCGGTTCGGTTCGGTTCCGGTTCGATACCCTGATACCAACATAAGAAACTTTAACTTAGAAAATTGGTTAAACAACGCTTAAACATAATGGCATCTGTTACAGACACAACTGACGATGGAAGGTGGTTCCACTTGATTATTGATATGGGGATGAATGAATTATAAAAAGTAATGGTTTTACAAACAGGTAGACCGATTTTTTTGTTGGTGATCGACGCGTGGCGAGACATATGGGGGAGGAGTTAGTCATTTTTGATGCAAGGAAGAATTGTGATGATAAATTTTATGAAACAGACAAAGACGGGATAACTCACGACGTGAAGAAAGGTTAGGTAGGTTTAAAAGCGTTTTCATGGATGTTACGCTTGCACTACGGTGATAGTTAGTAAGAATGTAGCGAACAAATCTATTTTGAATAGCTTCGACTGCTGTTGTAAGTCAGTCAGTACCGGGATCCCATATAGAGGAGGCGTATTCCAATTTGGAGCGGACAAGGGGTTTGTATAGCAGCAGCTTGAGAGATACAGGGACAGATGGAAAACTACGTTTGAGAAAGCCAAGCATGCGGTTAGCATTGTTAG